TCCCACTCTCACACCCCTGGAAACAGGTCAAGTAGTACAATTCCATTTTCAGTCCATTTAATTCCACAATCACAATCTCTCTTTTAACAATGTAACATTTTCCTAGAGGTCTTATCTCTTCTAAAAAACACTCTCACACACACAAATGACTAGGAGATGTGGGAGGGACTTGCACCGTGAAGCACATTTACGAATCCTAAATCCATTCTTTCACTAACAATGTTTAATCTTGCGCTGCTCTCGGTCCTATACAAGATCTTTCAACAAAGGAGAACCAATCAATCACAGATTCACCAGAAAAAAACGACTGCGACTACACTAGAACGGTCAAAAGACTGAAGATCTGATTTTGGCTCAGTTCTCTGCCTGTCAGTTTTCCAAAGTATCTTTTCCTACACTTAAAATGTTTTAATTTGAAACGCTTAACCCAGTTAAGAAAGCTTTTATCTGGCTCCAATTAGCAGCTGATTCATTAAATATTGAGGGAGCCATGAAGGATTAAATTTTGAATGTTCATTTGAGGCAGAGAGTTGTACAACAACTTCCCCCGGAGCGATGCATGGAGACAGTCTGTGCTCACCATTGATTACGCTCATTGAGGGGCCGAAATCCACTCCTCTCCTCCCACGCACCCCTCCATCCCATAACCTGTCTGACCCGTTCCAAAGTCTTTTTTTTTCTCTCACCACAGACTCTATGGAGATACTAATGGTTTTCTCCAGACATCAGGTGCTACGTGACTTACGCACTTTTAGAGTTTATTGTCAGGTTAAAGTTAACAACATGAATAAAAATTAACCCTATTTACATTTTAATGCACATTTCTGGTCTTAATGATGCATCTTTGTACTTTATTCCAAAAACTGTTTGTCTTTGTAATCTTTAATAAAAGTAATAAGTTGGTTTTTCCACATTTTTTTTCTGCTGAACTTTATCACTTTTTTCTTCCTAAAATATCAAATTTATACTGTTTGAGACATTATGAAAAAAATATATATTTTGCTTGCAAAATTAAACCATTGGCTTTTATATTATACTACTAACTGTACTTTAAGTTGATGTACTGAAGTCAAAGCAAATTATAAAAAATATAATCTGGAAAATATTTACTTTGTATAAAGTTCAGTGCATTTCACATTTGTTTGTAAAGCACTTTTTATTGTAATTTTATTTTATTTTGTGTTCAATATATTTAATAAATATTTTAAGTTACATCAACTTTGACAGCCCTAAAAAAAATGCACCCCCTAGCAGTTTGAAAAATCCAGACTTGTGGTCTATTAGGTAATATTAACAGATTACTAAATTATTTCAGCAAACTCGCATTCGGTTTTGTTCTCCAATTTTGTGTCATGATCCAATTAATCAATCAATCAATCAATCAGTATACATAAAAAAAAAACAATATTCAGTTTCAAGCGAGAAATGCATCACATTATGTAAGCAAGCTCATGATAAAAAAATCTCGTAAATCTTAATATTCTGGCGTGTCTGTGTGCATGCTGAAATGTTCAACTGTGTCTTGTGTGCATATGTGTTAATAGGCCTATATGTGTGAGAGAGAAAGAATGAGAGAGAAGGAGTGAAAAAAAAGAGAGCGAGATGACCTGAGAGGGATGTGACTGGTGGGGTGTGAGTAAACACGTTGACCTTTTCAGATATCATAGGGAACATTTATTTCATATGGATGAGTGACTTTCTCCATGTCTTTTTATATATGACTTTATCTGCCCAAACCCCTGAATTCCTTCTCTTTACACAAGTTGAACGTTTCTTTGCTCAGCCTCAGTTTAATCTTTATTTTTCGCTCTTTTAGCCAATGATCTTTATCTTTTCTGCCTCTGATTATATTTCTCTACCATATGTCTGTCAGAGTGGTAGATGTGTGAGATGTGTGTGAGCTCAATGTATGGATCTCTCTGTTCTCAAAGGCTCTCTGTTATGGTGTGTACACTTTTTTTTTTAAACTAGTCTTAGGACTTTAGCTTATTCACCGTATATCCCCCAGAGTTAGATAAGTCCATACATACCTTTTTCATCTCCGTGCGTGCTGTAGCTCTATCTGACGCACCCACCGTTAGCCTAGCTTAGCACAAAGACTGGATGTAAATGGCTCCAGCTAGCATACTAATCCCAATAAGTGACAAAATAACAAACATTTTCATATTTACATGTTGTGATTTGTATAGTCACAGAGTGTACAAATAACAAGGTCATATGAGACACAGCCATCTTTTAACCGTATAAATACTGGGAACTACATTCTCAGAAGGCGAAGCACTGCTACTTGGGCGGAGTGATTACCGCAGCACCTGAGACGCACCGTGATGAGGAGCAGAGAGTTCGTTCAGAGTTGGAGTAATAGAGTCAGCAATTACTAGATAGAAAAAGCATAGTTTACAATCATGGGTGTTCGCTGTATTGTAAAGAGCTGCGACAATAAGACCATGGTAATACCATGAAGTTTCATAGAATTCCAACAAAAAACGCTGACCTGATGAATCAATGGCTAAGTTACTTGCTCTGGATATAACGTTAGATCCAAACACACCTGAAGAGATCATCAAGGACCATCGTGTTTGCTCAATACATTTCACCGAGGACGACTATTTTGAAAAAATGGAATTTGCCACACGGACCATGAAACGTGTGCTGAAGGATAGGCCATCCCATCGATAGCACAGACAGGACAAAGTGGATCACCTGCGGCTGTGGTAAGTGTCCCGTTATGTTTTTAGATGACTAGCCTACTGTAACAGTCCCATTAGCCAGATCTAATGTAACGTTAGTGACACTATTATATGAATAGGGTGGTCACTACTATTGCAGTTGGTCCCGGTCTCCATGTATCCCCTGTAATGCTACTATTGTGTTGTCACAAACGCGCTCTATCGCCCCAGTAACAAATGAGCGGAGCTAGAGGTAAACTCAGGACTGTAGCCTTCACCTTGCTAATGAATCGGAGGGGGGAGGGGCAGTTATCTTTTTTTTTTTGAGAAACAGTGACCTTGTCCAGTACGGGTAGGCTACTGTCTGTGGGTTCATTGTATTGTGCAAAAACAATTTGCCTTGTGCTATTACTTTCCCCTTATTCTAGCCTATTGTAATGCAATTATCTAACATTACTGTATTATGCTGTTGAATACATTTGGTTCAGCTGTAATAAATTGCATTTAAAATATATCGTTTCCTGTAATAATAATTCTTTATTCGTGTTCTGTGATATTTATTAATCAGGATGCGTTTTTGGTTGGAATTCTATGAAACATCATGGTATTACCTGGTCTCCACTGTTTATTATTGTCGCAGCTCTTTACAATACAGCGAACACCCATGATTGTAAACTGTGCTTTTACTATCTAGTAACAGGCTTTATGCACAGCTTCACTACTTCCTGAACTTCAGCCAGCTCTTTTGTTTCCTGTCTGCCATTATTGGACAAACTGATTAATCCAGGTGTGCCTGATTATTGTTACTGAGGCCAGGCACACCTGGATTAATCAGTTTGTCCAATAATGGCAGACAGGAAACAAAAGAGCTGGCTGAAGTTCAGGAAGTAGTGCAGCTGTGCATAAAGCCAATTGCTGACTCTATTACTCCAACTCTGAACGAACTCTCTGCTCCTCATCACGGTGCGTCTCAGGTGCTGCGGTAATCACTCCGCCCAAGTAGCAGTGCTTTGCTTTCTGAGAATATAGTTCCCAGTATTTATACGGTTAAAAGATGGCTGTGTCTCATATATGACCTTGTTATTTGTACACTGTGTGACTATACAAATCACAACATGTAAATAGGAAAATGTTTGCGTTATTTTGTCACTTATTGGGATTAATATGCTAGCTGGAGCCATTTACATCCAGTCTTACTGCTAAGCTAGGCTAACGGTGGGTGCGTCAGACAGAGCTACAGCACGCACGCAGATGAAAAAGGTATGTATGGACTTATCTAACTCTGGGGGATACGGTGAATAAGCTAAAGTCCCAAAAAGTCAGCGTGTTCCTTTAAAAAGAAAGGTTTCTTTATTGGGACTAATGGTTAAATTTTTTATAATTTTTTTTTACACTAGGAAAAAAAGGTTCTTTTATGAACTGTTCTTAGGGGAACCAAAAAATGGTTCTTCAATGGTATCGCTGTGAAAACACCAAGAATGTAGTTCCCTAGACAGAATTTTTTTTCCCCCACTTATTTATTCATGTCCTTCTCAGAGTTGAGTGAAATCGCTAATTCTGTCACTCCCTCAAGGTTTAAACTCTTCTAAATGTGGCTTCTCTCTTGTCCAGAGAGCATCCTCAGCATGGACAAAATTTAGAGGACCTTTGCGTGGGTTTGCAGATTGTGTCACTGTGGGTGAAGCATGAATGGCTTATCTAGGGAGGGCATGCACGCGACCCATAATCGGGAGGCAGCCAGCCGGAAAATGCCCTCCCGTCTCTCTCAGTCGATGGTGTCTGTCCAAACCGTTGACTAGACTGCATCCCTGGCCAAAGTCACCCCTGTCCCAACTGGGCTTAAATTTATATGTACAAAGTTACCACACTTTCTGACCTATATCCATGATTGTTGTATCACTTTTCAGTTGACTGGATAATGACACTAAAAAAACATTTTATAGAAATAGCACTCAGAAAAAAGAAAATCCAGCCAAAGAAAAACTTCAGACCATGGCGCACAAATGTATAGAACTTTTGAAATCATCCAACATTTTTAGGTTTTCCAGGACACCTCTATGTGGTTTACAATAAACTTGACTAAAATATCCTTTAAATGGTCAATCAAAATAAATATACATTAATGAAATGGCAAGAATCATCTTATGGTACAACATTTTGTTTCAACTATAGCTCAATGCTAGGAATATGTGCATGAATGCGAATTGACAAATAGTGCAATTTATTTTGTATTTTTCATACTACTATCATTTTACTCTCATAGTCCATAGTCTGAACTTGTTGCAAAACTTGTATTTGGATGCATGAGTTTTCTATCAACCACCAACATACCTTCTGTTTAAAGAGTTCCAGTAGACTGGCTCCATGTTGGTCGCATCCACTGCTAAACTCATCATCAGGAAGATTAGGAGAAATCCCAATCCACTGACCCAGTCCGAGAACGCCATTGCCACCCAGGCTCCCCTCGTCTGGACTCCCATGTTCCTCCTACAAGACAAATGAATGGGACCTAATGGAGACAAAAGACTGGTGGGGTACTGAACTTCACTAGATCCCCCTGCACTTGAGGAGATGGTGTGACCGCAACATCCACATCTGAAAGACTCGGAGCATAAATCTCGGAATATTTGTATAAAGAAAGCAGATTCAGAAACATCAACCTCCTTTTGTTCCATTCAAAGGAGGCAATGACCTCAACTGAAAGTCTCAAGTACTGTCAGATTTGAGAAGGCAAAGCCATATGAATCTGAATTGGGATGAATTTAGAACAATATTATGATCGTGCATGGGGTGAAGTTAAATGTTTTTGAAGTGCACACAGACTGGTGAAGGGCGCCAGGTCCACTGCGGGTGATTTCCCCCCCTAGAAATGTTTCTCCATAAACCGCAGCATTAGCATTTCTGTCAATGTCTTGAAGTTGTATTTTTACTCATGCTGAGAAAATGACGACCACCGGGTACAAATAATTCGGTCCTTTGGCGGACAAAAGTCTTGTCGTACTTCCCCGCTGAAGCAGAAAACTCAGTTCAAAATGTAACTTTTCGCTCATCTAATATCCAAAATATTCACGCAAATATGATGGCCAGTCCTGAAACAACGGTGAGGATGTCCACCAACACTTAAGTTAATTACCAAATGAATTACAGTCCGACAAGAAAAACAAAAGATAAACCCGGTTTAGGGCAGTAAAGGGAACTAAAGTGACAGTAATCGGTAAGGGTCGATTGAAACAAACGTAGAGACGATGGGAACAAGAAACGATATATTCCCGTGGTCCATGGAAACAACGCGTGCTGTTCTTCGCTCCGTCCGATTCTCTGCTGCTCCGCAAAGTCTCGCGCTTTGACTCGCGCGCCGGCGGCGTTGTTGCCAGATCTCAGGAGAATCAACCAACATGTCCTGAAAAAAACAAGGCTATAAACCGAAATAGATTACCCCTGTTTTTTATTTATAAAGGTTTGGGGGTTATTTATCAATAATGGGAAAAAGTATTACTGCTTAATTTAATTGATCAAGACAGAAACGTTAAATAGAATCTAGATTAAGGACAGCTAAATATAAAATTACAGAAAAATAATATATTAAATAATAGCAATTTTTTAATTACTTATTTCAATAATTTAGGTAATCTAAGGTCATTTCTTTTTTTGTGCTTATAATAAGCGGACATGGCAACAACTGCTGGAGGTGAGCGCGTGTTGCTGATTGACGGGGAGGAGAGTTTGTACATGAGAAAAGCTCTTCTCTGAGGTAATATTTTTAATACTACCAAATTTAAATGTTACTACAGCTCGCCGACCAACAAATCAAAATAACTATGCTATGACTTGTGAGGTTAGAAGGGCTCAAATTGATTTCAATTCATTTAAATGAGTCGTTTGTCCAAACGCCTCAACTTTAATCAAATAGCTCGAGGCGTAAGTTATCAGGACAGGGTTTGTGTACTTAACGTAAACCGTATGCCCTGTTCTAAACGGTACAAAAGGGTGATGCTGAGGTTCTTTGGGGGAATCAAATGGTGGAAAGAGGTTTATGCTCTGTAAAGATTCAGAAGAATCTAGGATTTGTTGACTAAAAGTAGCCTACGATGATTTTATTTGTTTGGCCATTTAATTTACCTTAATGAATTCAAACGTTTGAGAGCCACAATCATCACTCAATCTTCTGCAATGCAATTTATGACACTCTCTATGAGGTTCTTTAGCAGAAGTGTGATAATACTGCCTCATAGTGGAGAACAGCCACAAAGCAGGAGTCAAATCTGACTACATTTGCACAAGACTAAAAACAACTGTAATCTAAACCAGGGGTTCTCAACTCTGGCCCTGGAGGTCCACTTTCCTGCAGAGTTTAGCTCCAAACATGATCAAACACACCTGCCTGTAACTTTCTAGTAAGCCTAAAGACCTTGATTAGCTTGTTCAGGTGTGTTTAATTTGAGTTGGAGGAGCGGCTCTTGAGGGCCAAAGTTGAGAATCCCTGGGGCCTATACCATGAAGCCGTCTTAGGTGGCAATATTCATGCTAAAGTGTTACTTGGTTAAATAAGTTCACATACTGAGATCAGTTTAATCTAGCTGTTGCATTTATTTTTTAAATGTGGAGAAAGAGAGCAATAGAAAGTTGCATTAATAAATATTCATGCTAAAGTGTTACTTGGTTAAATAAGTTCACATACTGAGATCAGTTTAATCTAGCTGTTGCATTTATTTTTTAAATGTGGAGCCTCCTCAGCTCACAGTCAGGCTCCTTTAGTGTGCAGTCTAGCTCCATAGGCTCCTTTAGTGTGCAGTCTAGCTCCATAGGCTCCTTTAGTGTGCAGTCTAGCTCCATAGGCTCCTTTAGTGTGCAGTCTAGCTCCATAGGCTCCTTTAGTGTGCAGTCTAGCTCCATAGGCTCCTTTAGTGTGCAGTCTAGCTCTATAGGCTCCTTTAGTGTGCAGTCTAGCTCTATAGGCTCCTTTAGTGTGCAGTCTAGCTCCATAGGCTCCTTTAGTGTGCAATCTAGCTCCATAGGCTCCTTTAGTGTGCAGTCTAGCTCCATAGGCTCCTTTAGTGTGCAGTCTAGCTCCATAGGCTCCTTTTGTAAAGGGCCCTGACTGAGTCTGTTTCCACCTGAAAAATAATTCCACCACAAACATGATCATTACAAGTTTTTGGGAGGCTAATCAACTTACAAAAAGTTCCTTGACAAACACCTGTTATATATGTCAAGGGTTTTAAATCCTTACCTTGTTCACATTTCTTTTGAAGCCTGTTGAGGTAGAGGCTTCAGTTTCTGGGACAGGTTGTGAAAAATCCTACAATAAAAGAGATGTGTAACTTGGGCCAGTCCCTGTTTTATGCCACACATTCAAATGTTTGCCTTAATAAAAAGCCCAGTGCATTCACCTCAGCAACTGTCCCAGAACACAGACAGAGTGTCTTCATCATTTCCTCCTCCCTGATAAATAAAAGTAGGCCTATATGTTTCTGGTGTTCTGTCTGCTGCATACTGACCTCTGTGTGGGAGACTGTGTGTGTGTGCTAGCTTCAACAGGGACACTGCATTTCCCTCGACTGCAGAACATACAGTCAGACATATTTATCACACACGTACCCAGTGTTACTTGCTTCGAGGAGCCGGCACCAGGGTCAGATTGTACAGCACCTGTAATCCCATCCATAATCGGCCGTCCCTTATTCCCATCAGAGCCAACTCAGTGTATTCTGGAGGAGTGGTCCTCCACTGGTTTTCTGAATTTCACTCTTTTTTTCGGTTTGCCTCAAACAAGTGTTAATAATAAAATAATAAAAGGCTGTGTGTAAATACTTACTAGGCTACTTTGAATTATATTTTTATATTTTGTCTTTATCAGCTGCCAAGAACGTTTGGAGTTGCATCTAAAAATCAATGAATATTAATCTTTATTAGTATATGCAATTTTTTAAATATATTATAAAAATATAGGCTATATTTCACACACACACATACATTCATAGCCTATATACATCATTTTACATGAATAAAGAACGTATTTATTTAGCTTACACATTAACACAATCAGCAATCTTTCTCCAACAGTCTTTCTCTTGCTTTGGCAGCAGAGACCGTATTGTTTCGAGCTTGTAATACATATTTAAATTCATCGTAATTCTGAATGATTATCTCTTGCTCCTCCGCGGAAAAAATATTTCGCTCTCGCTCTATCCATATCGAACGCGATTGGTTGTTCGGTGCCAACGTCACTTTGGTATGTGCACGCGCTCGTGCAGTAATCATAGCTTAAGATCAAAGCCTGAGTTGACAGAGAAAGTTGATGAGCTGCGTCATGGTACCAATAAAGCCTGATTGCATCGGTTTGGTTTTGTCAACTCAAAACTAATCCTGTAACTCCGAGTTTGTTCAGCTACCTTCATGGTACAGGCCCCTGGTCTACACCCACAGAAATAGCAAAATAATGACAAACAAGTTCAATATTTAAAAAATTTATTTTCGATTTAACATATTTTGATCTTTTCAAAGAAAAACTAAACCCCATATTCTGTACGTACCCACCTAATTTAAAACTCAGAAATGTTCAATCCTGAACTGATAAGAGGAAGGCAAACTACCTCTTTTTTAAAAACTTTTACAATTCCTTTTTTTATTGAGTATGTACCAATGTTCATCATCAACCTTTATCCATACATGTCAATAGTTGCAGTACTTGAACATTAACATACCAACAACACATAGAAACACTGTGGAAACATCCCACAGCCTGGTATGATGAGTAAAGTCAATGTAGGGGAAACATCCTCAGCCAGGCTCCGACTCCTTTAGATGACTGAGTGGTGTAGATATAGCCTGTGCTGTTTTTCTAATAAGCGTTACATTAAATGTCAAGCAGGGCAGTTCTATTTTGTACAATTAAGGCATGTGAAACACCCAAAATGATGGCCTAAGATGGACAGAACTCAAACCAGGACCAAAATCATTTACATTATTTACAGGGCATCCAGTCCACATCTCACTCGCGAGCAAGACGGGAGAATGTAAGTGTCTTTCTACAGACACATACAAAGTCTCTCCACACACACATGTACACACCTAGTCTGTCTGTGGTTCCCATTTTATGTCTCTTTCGTCTTGAAAGAGAGAGGAAGCGAAAAACAAGAGAAGAGAAAGAGTGGTGGTCTCTTGCTTAATCCAGATTGACGACATCAGAAGATATGTACTGGTGCGCGTGTGACGGTCCAAGCAGGGTTACGTCCATCCTTGAAGAACTGAAAATCAAAAAACAGGATTAAATCACAAGCACAATGAGTAAAATAGTTCTGAATCTCGGGCTTTCGCATCTCACCTGCTTCGCTGCAGTTCGGTTGTTTCAACTTACATCCATGAACTCCTTTCATGTCAGCAATTGCTGTAATAGTCTCAATTTCTCATTGTATAACAGACAATCATGACAAGTCTGTGTCCTTGAGATTTAGTTCAAGTGAAGAAACGAGGAGAGTTTGTTTCCGTCCGTCTCCTCCTCTCCAAACATTCGTCACATCTAGACTCCTCAACCCTCAGCAGGGAAGGGAGTTTTTGAAGAAATGATTGATAGACGTGAGAATCTGCGGTTTCTCCGCACAGTAATCTTCTCAAAAAGGCATAAAGGGTTTTTAAAATCAAACATTCAAAATGAACACTTTTTTCAAATGCTATAGGACTTTCCTTCATTTGATAGTGTTGCAAGAGAGCCGTGGGGATTGCAGCTCAAAGGATGCAGAAAACTCCATCCCTTTGGTGTGGATGAAATAGATCCACACGTATTCCCTCTGTCTCTCTGTGTGTAGCACTAAATGCAGCTGGTTGCCACTCCTTTCCACACTCCAGGATGGCGTACGAGTTAGTGCTGATATCCTCTCCGTGCTTGTTTTTAGTCTTTGTCTTTTTTTACAAAAATATATTCCAGTCAGAATAAAGAGTGAAATACGTTTAAAGCAGGAATCTTTTCTTTTCTACAGATCAAGTACCACGATGTCCTTCGTTCTGATCCTCAGTCTCTTCCTATTCAGGCGAATAAACATTTGATGCAAAACATCACATATTTCGATCCCAAAACCAATGTATTGGGGGAAGGGGGGGAAATAGATGTCTTTCAAAGGAAAAAAATGTACTGCTACACACTGCGGATGGCCCTTTATCAAGAGCGCAAGTAACAAGATGGAAAAACAACAGTTCCATCAAGATGTTGGGAGACAAACTCAATCTCCGGGTGACGTGAAAGTTCTGGAAGAGCACCAGCCGGAGACTGTAAGCTCAGTACAGGCCATGCGCTTCCCAGAATCTGACCTCAGATAACAGGCATATTCCGAATGGTGAGGCGTGTCCCATTTAGCTCGAGACACTCAAGCCTTGTTGTTAGTTTGTTTTGGAATACATTCATTCATAATACAACATCCTCATGAGGCAAAAAACCTAACAAATTAAAACATTATTCAAAAATACAAGGTAGCAGCCTAGAAAGTGCTCCAACTGATAAAGTTCGAATACTTTGTATAGAACAATAAAAAAATAATTCATTCATCCTTTTTCAACAGCAAAGAAAAAGTAACAACTGACATACAGGATCACAGCGCCCTCATGAGTGTCTCAAAACACCAGCCAACAGAATCCACACACGCACACAAACACACTTTCTGGACAGAAGGCAATAGTTCACATCGTGGACAGAGAATGAGTGGAAGGGGAAGAGATGTAATGTAAGTGTAGTTTGTGGACAGACAACAGAGGAGCTACATTTATACACAAAACAAACCCCGGTTGCCCTCTTAGAACAGAGCCAAACAGCACCTCAGTCACGCTTTGAAACACTGGAGGGTAAAAACGCAATGCTTGACTGTCCTATCGGTCTCTTTAAGAGCCTATGTACAAACAAAGCACAAACTTCTTCTGCCCATTCACACACACACAATTTAGCACACATGCTCAATGAAATACAAAAATTGTGTTGAACAAAATAAAAGCATGGCATTTGTTTTATACAGGTTGTTAAGCAATAAAATTTGTGCAGACTTCATCTCTTACGCACACACAAAAATCCTCATAACCTATCCTACGTTTTTTTTTTATCTTTTTCTTTTTTGTTAAACAAGTGCAAATCTTCAAGTTTTCAAATTCATATTTCTATAGCTTTACCAAGAACATAAAAAAATACAACAGTGTTTGTCTGTTAGGAGAGACGCTCGACTAATCTCCCCTAAGAACGTTTCTCAACCTCCGTGTTCGATGCGGCGGAAACCACTCCGTTCCTACCTCTCGTATGTGTACTCATACAAATATTCTACACATAATATATTCACACATTTTGCATTGTAAAAAAAGGACAAAACTCCATTTCAAATATGAAAACATTAAAGTGCAATGGTTTAGGTAAGGTGCTTTACTGAAGGGAGGCCGAAGAAGAACTCCTCTTCACACGAACCTCCCAACAACCTCCTTCTGCTCCTCTCACAGTGCAGAGTGAGAGAAGGAGGGAGAAAGAGAGAGGGGGCGTGGACAAATATTGCCCCACCCCTTCCCTCACTGAGCAGTGCACATTCCTCTGCTGATTTGCTCCAGGTTTAAGGCCTCAGGTAAACTCAAGTAGACGGGTTGGGTCAGTAATCCTCCACCTGCTCCAGCTCACCTCCCCCCAGGAATGAGTAGCCTGCGGAGGTGGGAAACAGGAGAACAGAGGTTTAAAGGTCTGAGGGTTCAAAGTTTCTACAAGAAATGTCCCATCTGGGAATATCCTAATGACTAATTCATAAACATTCCTTGAACTTTTTTTCCCCTTGAAGCAGGGTAGAAAACGCTTTTCAATAAGCATATCAGTAAACAGATCCTCCTCTCTAGATGAGGATCTCACTATGACCCAGACAGCAAGAATTTGACTAGGAGCCAAAGCACAGATTAAAACAACAGTAGTTGCAAGGGTTATTCTAGGTAATGTATGCATGCTGACGGGTAAAACTGAATGCAACCCAGCAGGGGTGCGTGAGCGTTTATGAAAGCATGCACACTAACCGAGGATACTGGGGTCAGTGTGGAGCATCATGCTAGGCTTTTTCTTCGCTTTTCCTCCCTGAGTGTCAAACACACTGCTGCCCTTACTCATGTGAGCTGCCTGGAACATTGACTGAGGAGAAAAAACAGAAGACTGAATACAACAATGGACAAGCAAAAGGGCAAGTGATACATCCAGATGTATGAAAATAATTACTGATTTCGAAGATTATTTTATGGCATGTCTTTTTAAAAATTCTACCTGCAGGGGGAAGTTCATGTTCAATCCAGAGACTTCCTTGGACAGCTGTGGAAAATGTCAGTACATTAAGTCTATTGCATGCATAAAAAGACGACACACAAAATAAAAATTGATATTTAGAAACCTGCTGCTGTTGTCTCTGGTGGTTTGCTTTCTGTTTGGCACGGCGCTCCAGGAACTGCTTGGCAAACTCTTTGGCTTCAATGGTATCGCCCAGATAAATGCGGATAAAGTCATTAACTTCATACGGAGACTCTACTTCCTTCAGATATGCCACAATGGTGGGCACTACAGAGACAAATATAGGCATAAGAATGCTAATTTCAGTTCCTCTTGAAGTAGAGAGCAGGAAGAGAAGCAAACAACAAATGTGACAGTTACCATCTAGTGAAGAGGAGTTATTTGCAGAACTGTTGAGAGCATGAAGCATCTGTTCACACCAAGTGGTGAACCCATCCTGAGGTTTCATCCCTTGAAGAAGCTTCAGAAGCCTGTCCTCGTCATCAGTACGCTTACGCCGATTAAGCAAGTACTGGTCACTGAGAACACGGACACATTTGAGGTGAACACTGCGTGCAAAAACATTGGTTTAAATGTGTGAGTGCAAATTTGTGTACCTGAGAGAGGGACTGCTGCGGCTGTTCTTCAGGCCAATGTTGCGATGGCTGGCCTGGTTCTTCATGGCCTCGTCCCACATGCCCATAGCAGGGTTTCCGCCTCCGACCTTCCCTTCCATACTAGATCCTGACCACATCCCAGCTGGCCCATCACTCCACTGACCCATTGTCAAACCTCCATGCTGATTGAAACACACATGAAGAGTTAGAGCAGAAGAAACTATTTCCTTCTAACAGCAAGTGGATAACTAAAATAACAGTAACTAATACAAGGAAGACAGATTTCAACTGCTCATGTGGATGTCAAGATGTTTTTACCCTTTGCTGTGCTCTCTGCTGCTGCTGCTGTTTGAGAAGTCTCTCTGCCTCCAACTCCAGGAGTCCCAAGCTCTTTCCTGAAGCTTTGCCCAGAGAGAGAGCTCCTGCCTGGCTTCCACTCCACCCTGTGCCCCCTGACATGCTCTGCTGCTGGCTCTGCTGCAGAAACTTCATGATCAACTCCTGCTGCTGACGGCACTGCTGTAAAACACAAACGTGTTAGACATTAAACATTTCATAGTGCAACAGTTGTGGCCCAGCGTGTGAGAGGACGCTCACCTGTTTTCGTCTATAAAGGTCCTCCTCCTCTCTCCTCTTCTGTTCCTCCTGCTGCCGGCGCTTTTCCTCCCTCCGTTTCCTCTCCTCTTCTTCACGCTTCACCCTGAGTTCAGCTTCACGCCTCTCCTGCTGGATCTAACGCATGGGCGGCACATGCTCAATTCACAAAGTGAAGTTTACACATTCAACATGAAATGTGATCACCTAGATGAGTGAGTAATGGGCGAAGTCACAGTCCTGCTTAAGGCCAAAAGCATTCTTTGGTTTTTACATCAACGCTAGGGATGTATACAGTAGGGCTTGCATAAACTAGTAAGGTAGTTGACAACTTCAACCACTAGTCGGCATTGTCAGAAGCCATTAAGTACTCAAGCACACAATAACCATAACTACATATCGACAAGCTTGTTTTTCTTAACGCAAACCAGCTAGCCATGACCGCGATCAAAGAGAGTATGTTATACAATGACAGCGAATAGACTACATTATTTTTGTCTTTTTCAAATATAGATGTATGATGCGAGTAAAGATCTGCTTTTGTTTTACTGTTCAAGACCTGTGAAATGGTATATGAGGATGCTAATGTTGTATAATAACCCTAGGCTAATTGTTAAAATCAATTTTATTAATACGTGTATGCACATTTATTCAACATCAAAGGTGCAGATGTTAAGGTTATAATGTTGCGTGTCAATTTACAACTGGTAAAATACTAAATGAAACACATTTTTGTTTTACAATACATGTAAGAGACGTATTTGTTGGAAAAATTGGTCAATTAATAAACATTTTTCCTTTTTTTGTCCTTTTTTTTTTTTACAAACCACAAGTACTCCATTAACTTCGGTATTGTTTTGACAAATAATAGACTAGGAGAAATCAGTAGTTGTGCAACCCCTTGTGTACAGTGCATTTTACATAAATGGCATCATCAGAATAGTACACGCATACTGTACGGCATGCAGACAGATTTTTCTCAACACACTTTGTCCATAGTCGAAAACAGTCAGGATAAAAAGAAGGACGATATGGAGACTACTGGAGAAGCCTGCATTGATGAGCGCTTGTCTAAGTCACTGTTTACAAGGTTACATCGGTCAAAACCAACGATAACTTTGTGCATTTTGGTAGGGCCTGTAAATATCAGAGCCCTGATATATTAAAGGCACAGCTAAATATGAACAGATTTATGTGAAGATTGTTTTAAGTTCACTTAAATTAAAAGTTATTTTTTTATAGCCTAATAAATGTAACAATTGATAGCTTTCAATTATACTGGAATGTTGAATGACTATAATTAATGGCTAAAAGTGAGGGGAAAAAACATTTAATAGAGACATAAGTAGCAGTATTGATATCAGTGATACTCGCCTTTATTCATAAGATGCCATTAAACAAATATTTAAAATATACTGTCTTTATGTTGTTTCTACATTAGTTTGGAGATTAAAATGTAAATTTATTACAATATAAAAATATATTAAAACCTTTAATGTTAGGAGCGATTAATCACAGTAAAATGTGCGATTAACAGCACTAGTACAAAGATATTTTGTCAGTCATAACTTATGTAGATAAACAGCACAGACACTAGACAAGGTCCAGGACAAGTGCTCGGTTGTACTCATTTGCAAAGCGTTCAAGTCAAAACTGAAGTAATACTTTGGGCTTTAGTCACCATTGAACCCTTGATCAAGACACAACCAGTAAACTTTAGCAGGACTGACGGCTTAACTCTAGAATATGTTAAATGGCAATTTAATTTGAAGATTAGATAAGTTGCCTACTTTCTGCAAATGTTCAAGAGTTGGACCCTGAGTGGAGTTACCCATGGTTAAGTCCCACAGACTGGTCTCACCGCCTAAAAAAAAAAAACCCAGAAAAGCCATGGTGTGAAAAATAAGACTTCACAAAATAAAGTGGCTATTACAAAGCATCAGTGCAGCTGGTAGTACCTGACTGCTGAGAGACTGAGGTAGGCATGTCCCACAAGGGCCCGGTGTCTGGCACTGACATGGACCTGTTCATCGCAGGCATCCCAGTCTCCCCACACCTGAGACACAAACGCATCACTCACAAACCCAAAACACATGTATATATTTGGTCGGCTGATTCATTAATCGCAAAAGGGGTTGATACCGGTTAATGTGCTGAAATCTCATCTGAAGTTGTTGGTACAGGGCTGCAGTGGCAGCTTGTTCTAATTGTTTCTTTAACAGCTCCTGGTCCATGTTCCCCTAAAGCAACAGAAAAAAAAAATACTAAAATGTACTTCTATCCAACTTTAATATTTTAAAGTATTTTTTTTTTTTGTATAGTGGAGAACAGTAAGGCAATGATGGTGAAGGACAGGAGGATATGGGAACAGGAAGGAACCTTGAGATGGGAACCGAAATTGGGTTGCCCAATAATGCTACTATGATATGTCGGAGCAGTGCCCACAAGGTTATAGCACCAACAACTACTTGAGTATTTTATAAAAGCAATAAGCAACCTAAGGCTGTGCTTGATTTCACCATGATTAAGGGTTTAAGAACAGTCCATAACCCTGTAAAGCATACTGTATCATAACGAATACACACATCTCTAGGGCAATAAATGATCAAATTATACGTTTTAAGGCCTGTTCACACCGGGACGAATTTCGCGTGGGTTATTCGCCGACGTTTAACGCCTCGTGACTAAACAAAGGGCGCCAATGTGAGTGTGCACTCCGACACGAAAAACGCCACGCGTAAAAGCGTCATTTAAAAAAAAAAAACATCTCTGGTTCGTTTTTTTAGTTTGACGCGCCGCGTCAAAAACTATCCGACCAATGAGATTACCGCTTTTGCTCACGTGTCTGGAGCTTCTGAAGTTACAGTAAAACACAACTTGGGGGCACTCAAACACAAAACGGTCTTGCCGAGCACACATACGTAACGGCGAAGAAGATATACGCCAAGTAGCGTCTACACTGCCGGGAAGAAATAAGACGAGGAAGATGCAAGGCAAGATCAATGTAGAGCTGCTGGTCTCGTTGGTGTCGGAACATAAAGAACTATGACAAACGCGACAGCGACTACAAAAATCTTGATAAAAGAGAATGTTATGGAGTGGTATTGCAGAGCAAATGGGCGCCATCTAATGTCAGGGAATGAATTTGCATGTTCACTCGGCTCATCGTCAGCGAAAATCGCTTGGGTGTGAACACAAAAAACGCGTTGAAAAACGCTGACGAATAACGCGCGCCGATATTCGTCCCGGTGTGTACGAGCCCTTTAAGCAAGTAAAAGCTTTTAGTATTATTCTAAAAATGATCCACCTTTAGGTCGTGGTACACGTGTCTTTTTGCTGTGAAATCTTTATCGATTTTTATAAAGTAAATGTAAGAGTAAAATTTATATTATTAGTAATATTTCAAGATGGACAAGCAACTGAGGTCCACCTGATTATCCATCCATTCTTTTTTTTTATAGAAAAATGTGAGTATCAAGGAACGTTTTCTCTCAATCATCATTGTATCGCATTGCATCATTTGTTTCGCTTCCCACAATGATTTTTATATGTAGTCTGTTATACTGTTATAAAGATCTCATTGATTTACATTACAAGCTATCAGAATTTCATCTTACGTTTTGGCCATAAAAATATCAGCAACTGCACCACTTTGCAGATTTTTGCTCAGTTTGGGCCTCTGACTAAAACTGATGTTATTTTTTTCTACTAGAGTATTAGCTCCATATTATCTTATACCATACTAAATGAGCCATAAAAGCCTGATGTATCAAATAACATACTAAAAAAAAGCATTTTGTCTAAAGGTTCAAAAAACAGTTCCATTTAAAGAAAGAAAAGAAAATTCAGACTACTATTTCATATGTCAGCATTACAGGGTTAAAAAATGTTAATTGGTTTGGAGTGGCTTATTGCTAATACATGACACAAAGTTTCATGAAACTCTTTTTTGGAATAATTCACTGGTTCTCACCAGAAGCGGAGGAGGGGAGGGGCCAGGAGAGAAAGGCACACGTCCCCACATCTTGATAACTTCGCCCAAGGGCTGAAATCCCTCATCACAGCCACGTTTGACTAGCAGGTTAATGGCGAAATACCCCGCTTGATACCACTCACACATCTCCACTGTAGTGAATGGACCTGATAGAGAGACAACCAAGACAGCTCAACATTTTAAGCTGTAATAAAAACCTCCACTTATGATCACTGATGTGGTAGTGAGCATTACCTTGAATCTCCCCTTGAGGGTCTTTGTAGAACCACTTCATTGCGGATTCGTGGGAAAGGGGCAGAGCGCTAGCGGAGTGCGGGAGAGTGTGTGGGGTTGAGTGAGAGTGTGTGTGGGGATTCGGGTGATTGTGAGTGTGTGCCACGTTGATGTGGCTCTCCTGAAGAGCTTGAGTGAAACATTCCTCTTCAAGGGACGTGTCTTGCAGAGACGCCACCATCTTCTCAGCCTCCTTTAAAAGACAGATCTTTTTTTACTTTACGCTTCTATCGTAAGAATGCAGAGCAACAAAAATAAGCAACACTGACCTGCTGAAGGTGCTTCATGCCATCTTCCTCCTCGGTGTCTCCCCCAACTGTTGGACGGTCAGAACCAGTGTTTGAGGGAGGAAAGGAGCTCTTCATCTGAGGTGTGGTGCCAACTAAAGCTGCATCTATAAGAACAAACGCAGTGTTAGTGTGTTACATTGCAAGTTCTTGATACAAAAAGGAAAAAGTCAAAGCAAAAGAAAGGAGAGTGTACCTTTAGCTGGCTGGGGTGCAGGTTTGAAGGGAGGAGGGGCTATGGGTTTGGGAGTCTCTTGCTCTGAAGGGTGCACAGGAGCAGGAGCAGACACAGCATGAGGAGATGATGACTTCCTGTCTCCATCCCACACAGCTGTTGCCTCACACTCTTCAGCTAAAATAAGAAGAGACAAATTTAGAAAACTGTTAAAAAAAAAAAAGTGAGAAAACATTTCAGCATGAGAAATGGAAGACGCGAATGGTTTAATGCTAATCTTGGTCAGATGATGCAGAATAGAGGGCAACATCCAAATTCTGTTAAATATGCTACATACTGGATCACATCAAATGAGCTTCTGAAATACTATGCGTTTTCTTACGTTTATCAGCAGGGCTGTCTGTCTTCTCCTGACTACTCTCATCTTCCTCCTCCAGAGCCTCAAATTCCAGTTCCTGGTCTTCGGGGATTGGATCTCTGGAGCTTTTCTGAAGGGTCACACAAACCTCATTTAATACATTTTTTACTTAAGAATGCATCTTAAAGTAACAACAGGTAGTTTTTTGCTCTCGGGCTCCCCCTACAGTTGGGAAACAGTATTGTCCTCTACTACTGTCGTAAACTCTGTCATCCTACATGCACGTGCAATTGTTGACAACCAGGATAGCCCTGAACACTGTAGGAGGAGGTCACATGCAGGTGTTCTGCTTGCGTCGCGTGTGAAATGTCTTCATCCCAGGTACAGTGGCATATATTTCAGCATGTCATATGAATATAATTTCATGGGTTTTATTTTTTTTCTAACGACAAATGATCGCGATGCTCACGTTTACAAGCCAGCGTCATTATAGTAGCCTAGTCTATTGGTTACCGTTTTACTGGATCTATATGATACTTCAATGCAATGTTTGAGTGGTTGATAATAACCATATATCGTCAATATTATAATATCAAGCTACCATAAATGAATCTGCAAATTTTACAAATCGATTTGCATTATAGCTTGAGGCAAGACAAATAAACAAATATCACAGACATGTTAGGTATCCTAAAATATGATTTTATTAATAATCTTCCTCCTTTCTTTGTACATGTTGAGTAGACTACACTTTTTAGGTCAAACATTTGCTATTTGCATTTCATCGATTGCAAAGTTCAAATCAGAACGAGAATACTAGCGATAGCTAACCATCAAAAACTAGAATATCGTTTACTAGCTACCAGATTGATATTTCGTTACTACTCTAGCGAATTAGAGAGGTTAGAGAGAGGCATTCTTTTTTCGATGGGGGGTTCGATGCTCCCTGCACACGCAAGGTCTCTCGCTCGCTTTCTCTCTCTGCCGTCCGCGCGTGTTGGAGCACAGTCTCTGTCTCGCGTGCGCGCTCGCTCTAGATTCCGGGAGATTTGAACTAATTTGCGGTATAACTTGTCGATCACGAGTGGCTCAACAGGTAGATCTATAGATAAACTCATCTTTCAGGGATTTGACCGACCGGGTTGACAATTTAGCGTGAGAAACCGGGGGTGTGGCGTACGTGTGAGCGTGTGAAACCAATCAAATGCGGGTGTCTCACGGCCAATGCGTGAGAGTTGGCAGCTCTGCAATGTTGATCCTCGTTCTGCCTTTAACGCGATCACTTTCTCTTTTTCTCTTTTTGCTTTGCTCCGATAAAACCTTTGCTTTCTTGTTTTTCTGTGCTGCTTCGGCCATGACTATAACATTTGGCTCGCAAGTCCGATTTTAAGGAAGTGGGGGTGGTGGTGGAAGTGACGTATATGCCGTAAAGCAGTCGAATTTTGTAGTTCTCTTTGTTCGCCGGTTACTACCCGAAACCCGAAGTTTAAAAGTACGATTAAAAACGCTACAGACCCCGTCAGGCTATGGCAGACGTGTCATTCAACCTATTGTAAGTCGATGTACCATCACAAGAGACTTGGAAATATATTATGAAGGTTGAAAAGTTACCTGTTGTTACTTTAACTTTAATTTAACAAAATAGTATTTGAAGTGTCGCCCTAAATCACAAGCAAACCTTGATGCACATGAAGGCCCCAGAAGAATCAAAGGTTCCCATCTCCCCCTCTTCTTCATCAGTGCACCACTCAGGCAGGCCATCTCGATCTTCCTCTCCTCCCTCACTTCCAGCCCTTCTCCGTCCACCTTCTCCATCTCGGAAGTCAAAGTCAAACTTCCTACGACGGCCGTCCCCACTGGCATGATCCCGCCAACCTGCGGAACGAGGACCCCCGTCTAGATGAGAGAGAAGACAAGTTTAAACAAAGAAATAAAATAATACAAATGAATTTATTGAAAAATTAACAAGTGAATGTACCTTCACGACGACATCCGGCAATCCTCCAGCTTCCCCCAGGATCTGTCCCATCATCTTCCTCCGCCTCCTCTCTGAGCGTCCGCCAGTTATCGCTGTCTGAGCGTGTATAGTCCTTCCTGCTTACTGCTCCGCCCTCCTCAAATCCACCACGCCCACCTTCACGCCTCAAGGGCTTCTCAAAGCGCCGCTCGCCTCTAAAACAGAAAATATTAGATTAATGATCAGCACAAGAGAACATCTCACTTATATGCACTGTATATTTCACTTACAAATATACAAATGACTGTAAAACCCACCTGTCATCCCAGCTCTGGCTGCGGTGCATCTCTCGTCCTCGGCCAAACCCAACCTCTTCATCCACACTTCTTTGGTAGAATACGCCTTCTCCTCTGCCTCTCCCTACAGAAAAACAAAAGATTATTACTAAGTATTCTTAAATAGTCTTCTATTAACAATATAAATAAATAAACTAATATATATATATATATATATATATATATATATATATATATATATATATATATATTACATATTATATAATACATTTCTTGGGAAGAGGTGGAATGTGACCTTGACATTTCTTTGTAATTATATATATAAAAATGTTTTTATAAAGAAACTTATGTAGCTGGAAAGACGATCTTCATTGTAGTCACACATACAGACACACACACACACAAAAAATCTAATTAATTTTACACTCATGTCCATACAGAAATTATTTTATAAATAAATAATGTAATTTCTGCACTTGGAAAAACAATGACCATTTTCAAAGTTTTTCTAAGCACTCGCCACTTCAGCTAACCAGATAGTCCTGTTCCAAACTCACACCAATGGTCACAACCCACCTCGACCTCCTCGAGTGCTTCCACGCCCTCTAGCTACACCTGTTGGTACAGCGCCGCCTCCTTTACCCATAAGCCTTAGCACAGCCACACTGTTCACGGACATGGAGAAGTTTCTCTGAAAGGTGAAAAACTCAATCAAAACGATGACTGATATATTTACAATGAACAATATTATTCATGTTTATCCAAAGAAATTCGATTCTTGTGACAATTACAAGATGCATCAGTGAAGGCAGAGAAGTGAAGACTCACCTGTTCCTCCTCAGTCAGGGGAACCAAGGCCAACGGTTGCTGAGGCTCATCCTGCAGGATAGCAGCAAACTCCTTATCCTGCATGTCCTCAGGGATCTTAACACACAAACCAAATCTCAGTTAAGTATGTAATTGACAAACACTTATTGACTACTATAAAGGAAAAAACCTTGAGTTATAGATGCGGCCTGTGCAGTTTAATTGATTTGACTTTTACTGCAGGTGGCTTGAGTCACTCACCTTGTTATCTTTGACATAAAGTGCTAACATCTCCTCGCGGCCATAGCGGTAGTCGGCCAACTTGGACTTTGGCATTGCAGGAGAAGGGGGAGGGGACGTCACACTCCCCCCTCTTGATAGTGCACGCAGCCTGAAGAAAGCACACACTGTCATGACTATTTCCATCACCCATTTAAACAAAGAATTATTCTGGATTCAAGATTGTGTATAAGCAGAAAACGAGAGGAGAGATTGATCTTTTTTTTTTTAATTATCTAAATTAAAAGTAAAAAAATAAATAAATATTAGTTTACTCAGAGGAAACATCTGTTTCCTCCTGCTGACACTTTTGGAGGAAGCCAGAAATGTATTTTTCATCTACAATAGAATGTGGCAGTAAGAAAATCAGATTACCCAGCACATTTTTAAACTTGTTTAACGGGGTAAAACAATTGTAACTTCATGTACCTCAGTCATGTTTCTAGCTGTGCTGCATTAGTTAGAACTTAGATCAGATCAATGGAAGAAGTGTGTTCCTCAAACATACTGCCAACAAGTCTAAATCTTTATCTCTCAATCATCCAAGTGCAAAAAAAGTACATGCTTGTGGTGTGAAGTGCAAAAACACTCTGCAAGTGCCAAACGCAAGTAAACATTAGTGTTGGTGAGTTTCGAGCCAAAGGGTTGGTAACTGAAAAAGTTATAGGCTACAATCTGTCATGCATACATTACCATTCTGGACCGAAGTTAAGTGTCTCAGCAGTCATATTCTGTGTGTCCAGAGGGCTCAAGGGTTCTGTTATTAAATGACAAAACACTGAGGTTTCTGAGTCTCATTTATCAATCAGCATACACACATCATAATATAAGACGTTATTAATATAAAACAATAAAAAAAAGCACGTCACGGGGAAGGGGGAGTGCTTACCACGTCCAAAGAACAGGACTGTAAAGGACCAGGATAAACGGGGGGACAGGAATGCTGTGGTTCTGTGTGCTGAGGTGGACTTGGTAATTCTAAACTCTGTATTAATATTATTATAGCTGCCAGTTTTAGGTAGATAAAGGCTGATGAATATCTAGCCAGATATAAGAGCTCCAAAAGATGGCACACACCCTAATGTGCCAGTAACTATAGATCTTTAAAAAAAAAAGATTCAGCAAATTGAAAACACTTCAGAGAGAAAAAAACACACCGATTAAGAATTTGTGGCAGCGTAAACAGCAACTGCTGTTGGAAAAAAACTTTCAGGGCAGTTTGTAATGCTGTAACTGACTATTGCTGGGTAACTCTCCTCTCTTGATCTCTTTTATTTATATTCTGTATTTTTGTGAATTCTTTTTACATAGGCAAGCCTTCAGCTCCCAACTTCTCACACCTGCAGACAGAAAAAAATACAGAGTAAAACTCACTGCTTATAATGCAAATATAAATCATGAAATGCAAGTGACATGCTGGCTTAAAAAGACAGAATCAGGATAGTTCTATTCAAATGATCAAATTCACTTTTCAGTAGTTTCAAGCAATGATAATGTTCATTCACTTCCAAGCAGTGAACTGTTGTACATCATATAAAACCATTTTCAATAACATTTTTGCAATTGTTATGCATAAAGTTTGTATGGCTTCATGGACAGATTAACAAAACTAATTTAAATCACACCACAGGCAGTGTTATGTATAATATATGAATACTATTATAACACTTTACAGTAACATTTATTTTCATATATTTTAATCAATTGTAGCAAAAAAAACAAAAGTTTTTTGTCCATTTTAGTAAGTACATCAACTTAAGCTCATTTTCAGTTTAACATTTTTCATTTTCATTAAAGTTTTTTCCATTTAATATATTTAGATATTTTCAGCTTTATTTCAACAATTATTTTAATAGTTTTAAGTTAAAACATAACACTGATCACAGGACTATTTAAGTAGACAACAATCACACACAATATTGAAACTTAATTATACACTATGTTTTATATACATATATATATCATTAATTTTACCATTCAAATAAAACATACTGCTTTTCACCACCAAAAATCCCAGATTTTTCACAGGTAAATGAACGCAAATAAACAACAAGAGTGAAAGACTTCTCAGTTTCTCAAAAAGACCTACTAGTTGCAAACAGTCACAATTTAGCTACCGGTATAATATTTTACTGACAGGCTATTTTGTCGGCAATGACATTTAAATGCATATTTTCCTTTTACTTCGTTTATGACAACAATCAAATCTACAATTTTAGAATGTGTATCAAAAAAACTGACAAGTATTGTTACCCTGACTGAATTTAAACTTTAGTAGTAGTAGAGACCATAAATATGCACCAATTATGGTAGTTTTAGCTGCACTGAACATGTTTAATGTAAATGTATCATGCACACATTAAAGAAGAGCAACAGGAATTAAACACCTCTGATCATTAAACTATTGAAACAAAACGTGTAAAAAATGTGCACAAAATCAAGTCAGTCAGCACATTCATTATAGATGAAAACGGTCAAAACAACAACTTTTACAGGTGGGATTTAATGAACTAAATAACATTTTTATAAGCCAAAAGGGGGACTAAATAAAATAGCTCAACATCAACAAACTTTCCAAACTACAATCATAACTCCAGAAGCAACACTCCCAGCTCAACCCAGTGCAGTTATGCAACACGGTTGAGCCTGAGAGACGCTTTCTAGTGAAGGTTAAGAAGTAATCTAATTATAATCAGCGAAATAAGTCTGAGAGGTTTAAAGAAGACCAGGAGAAGGAACCGCAGCGGAAAAGTCTGAAATATGCTCGCGTTGCGCCCTCGCTGCAGGCCTTCACTAACGTTACTCCACTCTCCACTACGAGCCATCTGATACTGTCGATTAGCTCGAACCACATAGATGTGCGATTACCACCCAAATGTGATTTCACCAACCAACACACAAAGCACGCTACCCACTGAGAAGTAGAAAAGGATTTAGCACGCACCTTTTCTGCGAGCCTGCTGGCCAGCTAAGCTAAACTAGCCAACCACTGTTTTCTCCGGAGTTGGATTTTCTTTAAAGAACTCACTCCTTTTGCACGTTCGTGCTTTGCAGTAACCGGTGGTTTGAACTGGTATGTCTCCGTTTTGATCACTTGTCTTGTGTGAGTTTCGATGTTTAATTGAATAGCTATTTTCCCGTATCTGCAACGGTCGCAATGAGTTTTTCTGTCTCGCTCGGTCGTCTTGTTGTTTGTGTTTTACAAAAATGGCTGTTGGACATGAACCACGTGAGAAATTCATCCAATGAACCGCGAAGTTCTTCTTCTTCTTTTTTGACTGACGGCGGGTAGAAAACTACAACAGCGCATTACTGCCATCCACTGGCAGTGGGCTGCACAATCACTGGATAGACATGTTTTTTGTTGTTGTTTTGTTTTATAATTATTATTATATTTTAATAATTAATACTATTATTATTTTTTTGTCATGGCTTTTGCTGTATGTTGCATGACTTTTTTATATTAGCAAAACTGCGATTAGGATAACAAAAACACAACATTAGAGAACAAGTGTATGAAGGACCACAAGTGTCATGGAAATAGTAATAAAGCATTTAATGAATAACCAATCGTACAATAAAAATAGGCATTAATACATTTGCTTACCAATTAATTAATGCAATTAATTTAACTGAATTAATTAATTAAAACAAACATTGCAAAGTAAAGTACAATAGCAACGTAATTCATTTTTAAAGAGAATAAAAGCAATTATATAAAAAAATATTTATTCTTTTTAAAAAGGGATTTGCAAAAAAAACAGCATTTAAGAATACATTAATGAATTCTTAAATAAATAGTGGAATTTCAAATTGCATTTGAAAATACAAATTAAAAAGGAAATAAGTAATTGAACCATTTATTTATGTATTAATAATTCACTTATAAAGTCTTTAATTACTATTTATTATTATACTATATTAATTTAGCCTATTAATTAATGAAAAGCTTTATTACTATTCCCGTGACACTTGTGGTCCTCCATACAAGTGGGGGATTATAGATGGAAATAAATAAATAAATAAATAGATATTGATATTTTTTTTAAAAAGACTTTTAATTGGAGGAAGTTTTTTTTTTGAAGTGACGATCAAATTTAAATTTAAGCCATCTTTATTTATGAGATCTTTATTTTTGTATACCTTATATTTTATATTTCTGCGTAAATATATTTCAGATAAATTTCATATTCCATAGCCTATTTAACGCTGGTGAGAACGTGCAACTGGATGAGTGGGGCGTCAGGTGAGCTGAGTGGCGAGCAGTTATTTGACTATCATTGCAGTATGAAAAATGAGCACGCCGGGACACTTTCTAAGGAGTTATTCAAAGGAGATTTCTAATGAGAGCGGTGTTTCATTTCAATGTAATGGATCACCGGACTGTTTTGCAGGCGTTTCTCTACTCTCTGCTCGTGACTGTGCGCTCAGAAGTGCAGAAAGATTTTTCAGAAGAATGCCGTGAATTTATGTATATGGGCACCGCCCCACGGGGTCTGGAGAACCGGTCACTTAAAAAGATCTGTCAGCGTTACAACGGTAAGCCTCGGTATGTCAGTCTGTACGATGTTGTGGATCACATCCCGGTGTATTCTGCCTACACTTTCAAACGCTCCGACGGCTTCAAGAAGGTTGACGTTCCTTGGATGTTCGAGCCTCAGGTAATAAACAGTTTGGTGAAGTTGAACATTAGTAAAGTTTTAAATAATCACTGGAATCGATAGCTGTGTAGTCTCGATGCATAAAAAAGGCACAATGTAGATTTTGAGCAATTCTCTTCAACACCCTGCTGAGGAAAAACACACACAAACCAGCTTAAACTGGTTCTTCTAGTCTTATCTGGTCTCCCAGCCTGGTCTGTTGGCTGGTTTTAGATTAGCTTTGGACACTATTCTGATGGTCAGACTGCCAAACAACCATCTTAGCCAAGGTGTGAGACCAATGTAAACCAGCTAAAACTAGCAACCATCTTAGGCTGGTTTAAGCTGTTTGTAGTTGCTGTAATTTGCTGGTCTATATGGTCTCCCAGCTTGACTAGATGAAAAGTGCCAAACAATCTTAGTCTGGTTGTAGATATTTTTTCAAATGGTAAATATTTTATGCACCTACTATTTAAATACTGTAATATATTTTCTACATGTGTATTCACTTGTTTCTCTACGCAAACAGCTCTCCACAACATCGGACTCTGGTGAGATGCAGCCATTCCCTCCAAATGTCCACGGCAGTTTTTCGGACGCCCAGGCCATCTTGGAAGACTACTCAAACACTGTCGATTTCGAACGAGGTCATTTGAACCCCGATGAGCACCAGGCTCACCCCGATGACAAGGCGGCCACATACACCCTCACCAATGTGGTCCCACAGGTCCGCGAGTTCAACATTGGCCACTGGAAACACCACGAGCACATCATCCGCCGCCGACTCAACAACTACTGCCGCGGTACGGCATACATAGTCACTGGGGTCACCACATCTGGAAGGATGATCCGTAGACACAACATCGACCGAGTGGCCGTCCCCACCTACCTGTGGTCGGCATACTGCTGCGTAGACTACGATCACAACGCCCCGTTTGATGAACGATCCAAATTCCCGGCCTTCGCATCCCAAGGCCTCAACGAGAAAGGAGGAACGGAGGTCGTAGAGATGTCCGTGCAGCAACTGGAAGATTTTTTGAAGAGGAACACCTTTGTGGACAAGAAGTTTCAGATTTTCTTTGAGAATTGTGAGCCTAACAATGTCATAATGATTGGCAAGACTTAGGTGTCTTTAAGTTACTTAAGTCTATCCTGTTGATCCCTAAATTCATAAACACATTTTCATATCTTTCAGCTGTTAGAGTTGTGTTCTGTAGAATAAATAGTCTTCCATACACTCTTAAATTTAAAGTTCCTATTAGAATAAGGGTTTTACAACCTGATGGCACAGAAAAATATTTTTTAGGTTCCACAGAAAACATTCTTAGTTCTTTAGAAAACCATTGACGCATCTACAGTACTAACAATTATTGTTGGTTTAACTTAAAAATTAAGTTACCTGGTTGCCTTAAAATTTGGAGTTCATCGAAATGTTTTATTTGAGTTAATACTATGAAGTAGATTGGTTTGACAAAAGATAAAAAGTTGTGATAACAAATTATGAAAATAATATTTCTGTAACACTCAAAAGTTTGGGGTCAGTAACATTTTTGAATGAAGTCTATTATGTTCATTTATTTGATTAATAATGCAGTAAAAACAGTAATTTGTGAAATATTCATATAATTGAAAATAACTGTTTTCTATTTTAATATACTTTTAATTCATGTAATTTATTCCTTTGCCACCCAAAGCTGAATTTTCAGCATCATTGGTCCCAGTCTTCCGTGTCCTTCAGAAATCATTCTAATATGCTGATTTGAAATAATAATAATAATAATATGCTGATTTGCTGCACAATAAATACGTATTATTATTATCAATGTTGAAAACAGTTGTGCTCAGTGTTTGGCACTTCTCACGTACCGGCACTTCTCACAAACGGTCCACTTTACCCCAAACTTTTGGATGGTAGTGTATGTGCTTTAAAGAACCCAGATATTATTGGATATAACACTATTTACTTTTCATCCTTTTTTTGTTGTTTGTTTGTTTGTTTCATTTGAAGGGTAAAATCTTTATTCATTTATTTTAGCCTTGAGAATGAAGATTTAAGTTTCAGAAATATTTTAAATCTACAAATGAAAAATATTTATCCATGAGAGGACAGAAAACGTAAATGAGACAGATGTAATGACTGTAATCATCTGGGGCCTCAGGAGTTTTATTAGGTCCATTAACTTCTTTATGAAACTGCAACAACTAATCTTTTCTCACTTGGTAATCATGTTTATGACAATTTATCTGAATACTGTAACTCTTCTAAAATAAAAATTGACCACTTAATCTTCTCTCTGTGCTTGTAGTCTGTCAATAACCAATATGAAAAACATGGGTCTACAACATAAAAGGCAGGTGTTCTGGATAAATATTTTCAAAATCAAACAACAAATGAAGCTGATATCAAACTCATATTGCTTGATCAATTTAATATGTACACTGTCTACTGATTCTATTCAAATGAAAAAGTTGATTTTGTGTGTGCATGCAAGATAAACAATGGTATGAATATGAGATAGCTCGTGAAATATCAGATAAACAAATAAAGAGAAGGTGACCGGAGCCCCATTTCTTCCTAATCCCTTGTTCACACAAGGATACAGACAGGTTTATCACCTCTTCACACTCTACTGAGGACTGTTTGTTCTCTCACGATGGGGATAACCTGATTTACATGTTCTAAGACAGCCAAATCACCCATAAAGACGATTAGCTCTACAGAAAAGAGGACCTGCATATACATTGTTCTGGGAATATGTGATATGGTTTTTTTGCACAGTATTTGCCTGAACAATCATGTCTATCCCTCCTTTTAATGATTAATCCTTCCAAAGAAAGCTGCTGGTAAAAAAGAAAAAGAAAACGAGGATGACTATTACTTGTTTGATTATATATATATATATGTTTTCTTCTTTTATCTTCTTTTTTCTTCTTCTATGGGGCCAGGTTTTGTGATTTGGGGGCCAGGTATGGGGCCCCATCACATCAAATGTGTTCATTTACTTTCGTAACATATTCACTGTCTCATATTTTGGAATTTATTTTCCCCTTCACAACAAGTTTAAGGAATTGTGCAAATTCAGCTATTAATTTAGTGAATAAAATAGTCTATACCTAACACAATATATACATATTTTCTTGTGTTAATAATTAAAGTCAGGGTTTAGATTAAGCCAGGATTAGGCCTTAGTTCAATTGGGGCATTTAAGTTGCTTTTAAACGTGCCTTAGAAAAAAATAACATTAATGGTGTGCATCTTGAGACAAAACAATGGTACTGACATATTTTAAGACATGACAGTGCAAGTTGCTATCAGCTAAAACAGCACAAAAATGTTATTCTGTATTTTAGTCAGGGACTAGCTTAAGCTTTGTCTTTAAAACAGGGGGATAATAATTTTCTATTTACAACCAATTTAATAATTTGAAACTAAACATTTAATCATTATTATGTCATTTATAATATTAACATACTAATGGATTATAGCCTAGAAAAAACACGCTCTTCTCTTATAATCACTAAAAACTCACAAATTAAAATTAAAATGTCTACGCTGCACAATGATCTCCTATTTACATCGTGTCTACGCTTTGTTTATTATAATGAGAGGATTCACGAGCATGCAGAATTCAGTACTGAAAAAACAAAACACTGGCGTTTTGAGCAGTGAGTGGATTATGACTAAATTAAACACCTCTGATTGGCCAATGCGTTCAAGAAAACAACAGACATGTCTGCGATTGGCTACACTGCTCACCGCTGCAAAACACATTGGAAATAGAAAACTTTCGACGCTCTTTGTTTAGTTTATGTCTCAGTTCTTAAATCTTTTGTGTTCATACATACAAATATTTACACGTTAAGAAATTTGCTGGAGAAAAAGCAGTTGAAATTGAGAGGATGCTTCTTTTTTATTTTTTTTTCATTGATCTAAAATAGCAACGTGGAAATGTGTCAAAATGTTACAGTGTTGTATCCTAAATCAATGTAACATGTAGGCCTACGTCTTCACCTAGAGGACAGGCGTAAAGCGGTTTCGCTCTTCTCGTTTAGGCAAAGTCTCACGTTCTGTTTTGCTTATCTAGTCAGAGCTATTCAAAGGAACCAGCTTCGACTTTCTCTCACTTGCTCATTCTATCAAAGAAACACTCGCGTAAGACCGACAGTAAGCTCTTATGACTAAAATGCATCCCTCGGTCATCCTTCTTGTCCTTGCCCTTGTCCTCACAATTTGGCTCTCCGAACACCGGGGAACTGCAACCGTGGTTGAAGACTTCAACCATGTTGAGAGATGCAAGGACTCGCTGTATATGGGCACCCCACCGCGAGGCTTCAGAGCTGACAGGCTCAAGAAGATCTGCCAGCGCTATGCTGACAAACCCAGATTCGTAACCCTTTACGACCCCCAAAACCGCATCCCAGTTTACTCTGCGTACTCCTTCAAGAAAACAGAGGGTGATCGGCGTGTGGACTACCCCTGGATGTATGAGCCTCAGGTATGAATCACTCTCAGGAAAAAAGGTACACAAAGAAGTCACTGGGGCAGCAGCACCCTTTCAAAGCGTACTAATATGTAGTGCTGGGTAAAAAAATGTTGTTGGTTTAACTTTAAAAAGTAAGTTACCCGATTGCCTTAAATTTAAAAAAAAGTTTTAGTTAAAGGAACTCAAAATATTATGTTATCTGAACCACATTAATTCTCTAAGTTGATTTGACAAAAGATAAAAAGTTGTGAAAAATCATTAAAATATATTTTTATACAGTGAGATTATTTACAAATTGTAGTCCATTACTGATTACAACTTGATAAAAATTTAAATTAGTAATGTAAACTATTGCCTTACAATAGTAATATAAATCGTAATATAATATAAATTTAATTATATTAATTATTAATTTAATATTAATTTAATTATTTAATATAATTATAAATTTAATATAATATAAATTATAGGTAATATAATCGGACTACTTTTTGATGACTTTTTTTATACTCTCTTCCCAAGCTGGTGTTACAGCGGTTTCATAAAGTGATGAAAAGCTAATAACTAATTGAATCTTAATTTTATTAAATTTAAATAAATAATTAAAAAATAAAAACAATAAAAATAAAACACGGTTACACTTTATTTTAAGGTGTCTTTGTTGCACTGTAATTATACATTTAAGTACTGAGTAATATTATAACAATTACACTGTAAAATAAAGTGTTACCTATTATTTTACAGTCCTGTTCCCCATGTACATACTATGCACTTATTATAGTAATTGCAATAATTGGGTAATAACTAGGTTCTTAACCTGAATCTTAACCCATGTTACCTTATATTACTCAGTACTTTCTTAGTAAAGTACACTGTAAGTGCACGTACTGTAAAGTGCAACCATATATTACAACTACAAGTATTTCATTTTTGGAATCCGATTACGCAATCCCGATTACGTCAGTTACTACCCATCATGTACCATTTAGGTAGGCCTACACTTAATATGTATCTTTAAAGTGCACATATGCACCCTTTATGGGGTACATAAATGTACCCCATTAAGGTAAAACCATTAAGTTGTAGGAAATGGTACCGACCCAGTGACACCTTTTGTAGGCCTAGCCTACCTTTTCTTTCTAAGAGTGTGAGGAAAGGCTTTCTTTGTTATGATTTTAATGAAGTGGTGACCTACTTTCCCAGCTTGCAGAGCTTGATGGGAATGGGAACATGTTGCCGTTCCCCACCGGATACTTACACATGAAGTTTGAGGACAGCCAGGCTGTTTTGGATGACTACTCCGACGTGGTTCTGTACGAGCGAGGCCATCTGAATCCAGACCAGCACCAGTCAGACCCCCAGGACCGAGCGGCTACCTACACGCTCACCAACGTCGTGCCAGAAATCCGCGAGTTCAACATCGGTCCGTGGCGCCAACACGAAGAGCGCATCCGCGTGCGCCTCAACAACTTCTGCCGGGGCACAGCCTTCATCATAACTGGGGTTACCACTACCGGAAACATGATCCGACGCAACAACCAGGACCGTGTTGCCATCCCCGAAGATGTGTGGTCTGCCTACTGCTGCACCGATTACGACCGGAACGCGCCACACATCGTGCGCGTCCGCTTCCCGACCCAAGCGGCCCTCGCCAAGAATGCAAAGGAGGGGAACACAGTCCAAGAGCTCTCAGTGCTGGATCTGGAGAGTTACCTGACAAACAGAATGGCTGTAGACAAGAACTTCCAGCTGTTCTATGATAACTGCATCTCACCTTCACCTCTTCCTCCATACCTTCATCATACCAACTGATCAGGCTTTGGTTGTGGTTTCGTTTTTTGCCTTTCTTCTTTCCTGTAGCTTCACTGTGTATTTCATTATAGAAAAAGAGTTGAAATAACAACTAAATGTGAAAATCTGTAGAATGTTACATTTAGTGGATTGCAATGTTACAGTACTTCAAAAGTTTGGGGTCAGTAAGATAAAAAAAAAAAAAAAATACATATTTGTATTCAGTAAGGATGCGTTAAATTGGTCAAAAGTGTCAGTAAATACATTTATAATGATCTATATTCAAATAAATGTTGTTGTTTTGAACTTTCATATTAATTTATGAATCCATTTATGAATTTATGAAAAAAGATGTAGGCCTATCTGAAGGGCCTATATCTGATTTCTGAAGGATCATGTGACACTGAAAACTGGAGTAATGATGCTGAAAATTCATATTTTGAGAATACTTAAGGGAAATCAAGGGAAACAATGATTTTGTATGTAACTTTTTTTCCTCTCTGCTTACAACTATTTTATTGCTTTATCTTAACATTAATCATCCTATATGCACAGAGTAATCGTGACAAAGTGCCTCAGTTTGCATATTAATGCTACGTAATTCACTGACACCACCTAAAGTTCTAGTTTGTGTTTTTTTAAGGATGCACAGGTGGTATATCTTTATAAAGATGTGTCTAAAAAAACCTGACATGTCACATTTTTCCATCCTTGTTGTTTCAATATAACATGACTGATGCAAAACAATAAAAACCTAAGGACAATTCTAGTCGAATTTCATCATTACACCCACTTGATCACAAGTTTATATAATTAATATCAGGAATAATTTTCAGTAACAGACACTGTATCAAATCAATATAACATTGTGAGAAACAGGAAGAGAGTGAGCTATGAAGAGAATTAATTATCATTACGATCTCTTTAAATCAGTTAAGAAAACACAGTGAAAGTGTCTCCATCTCTCTTTCATCAATGTTCAGTTGATCAGTTTATAATTTTAGGATTAAAAACATTTCGTCAGTTCTAGACAGTCCAAATTTTCGGTCATCATTCTAAGGATGAAAAGGATAAAAATGTCATGGTAAAAGATGTGAAGAGTAGATGAATCTGGAAGATAGTTGTTAGCCTGTGCACTTTTGCAGTGACAGTGGTTTATAAAGGGCTAGAAATGGTCATACAAGAACATCTGCCCACATCTTGCTGTTATTCTGTATGACCTAATTCCATGGTGATATATTCTGCCTGAATAACTGTGATCCAGTTATATTTTCCCTTTAAAATAGCATAAACGGCTTCCAACACTGAAAGGAACTGTGAGGAAATGCAGCCTTTATGAAAGTCCACAATAATTCCCAGGTCACATAGGACAAGTCTCCAATGATTGACCACTGGAAACGTAATGCTATAGTGAGATTAGCAAATTTGTATGATATTCCTTTCATTTCTTAAGGCTGTAATCTAATCTCAGAGAGACACAAATGAGGAGGATGGATATGCAAATGAAGCTAACAAGGCTGAATAAGCCTTAACTCTCCTCTCTCTCTCTATCACATATTCTCCTTTGTATTCCTTTCTGTAAATTGTCTTTGGTTAATATTATTACTGTCGTTGTAATTTTGCGTCTATAGTGCCATGGTGAATGAACTCTGATGCAAAAATATGATTTTTTCTTTCTTAGCTGGTTCTGTGCAAGATGGAAGTACTATGGAGTCTGTTCTGAAAGACTTTGCACGTGTGGCCCTATGTATATGATCAAAGACCCCTGATCCCAGATCAGGAAAACACACCGATGAATTCTATCTCCCTAACTATTACAGAGCCTCAGGCCAGGGCCTTTAACACATGTCCCTCAGTCTAAAATCAACATGGGGTCCAAATATACAACATCCAAGCCGCAATAAGGTGCTCAGAAGGCACTAGTGCTAAGGAAGACCCTAGGGCCCGGCCCATAATCCATGCTTGAGTAGTGCAACCTATTTCTACAGCTGTGACCAAACCTGGACCAAACGATGCATGGCTGGCTGTAGTTCAGTATTTGTACACTAGATGGTGCTGCTGCCAAACTAAAAACATACCATAATCTTGACATTTTTCCAGTTAAAAGAAACATTTTTGAATAAATCTTGGATAATATATAAAAATGTTTTGGGAAATCGTAAAACATTAAATAATCGTATAAATGAGCTGGTGTAAGCTGGTCTGCTGTCCTGTCCCCCCCTCCCCCTCAACAAGGCCTAGGCCTATTCATTTATACAGTCACCAAATATAAGTGCTTCTAGGAACACCCTCAAACGTGAGTTCACTGTCATCCCAGCCTGGATTCCCAGGACTGTACACTGAGCATTGAGAAACACGGTGACTGCCAGAACAGCGCAGACAGAACACGCGCTGGAATGCTGGAATACTATCAGGACGCACGAGGAACAGGCTCGTGCACGAGATCAGGCTAGTCTGCAGACTGTGCAAAAAAGAACATGAAAGTTTTATTTTGAGGCATGCAAGATTTTAAATTAGAGAAATGAATAGGCCTACTATTATTCAGCAAGGACGCATTAAATTGATCAACAGTGACAGAAAGGACATTTATAACGTTACAAAAGATTTCTCCTGAAAAAGAGCAATCTGGATAAGACCATATTAAGCAACTATAGACCGATCTCAAATCTTCCTTTCATAGGCAAGATCATTGAAAAAGTTGTCTTCAATCAGCTGAACAAATTCTTAATCTCGAATGGATACTTTGACAATTTTCAATCTGGTTTCAGATCGCATCACAGCACAGAGACAGCGCTCATAAAGATAATAGATGATATTCGCTTAAACACTGATAACGGCAAATTATCAGTGCTGGTACTACTCGACCTCAGTGCTGCATTTGACACTGTCGATCACGACATACTTCTTGACAGGCTGGAAAACTGGGTGGGGCTTTCTGGGATAGTCCTAAAATGGTTCAGGTCATACTTAGAAGGGAGAGGTTATTATGTGAGTATAGGAGACCATAAGTCTGAGTGGACATCCATGACATGCGGAGTCCCTCAAGGCTCAATTCTTGCGCCACTCCTATTCAACCTGTACATGCTCCCAATGAGCCAAATAATGAGAAAGAACCGAATCTCTTACCACAGCTATGCAGACGACACACAGCTCTACTTAGCCCTATCGCCTAACGACTACAGCCCCATTGACTCCCTGTGCCAATGCATTGAGGAAGTAAACAATTGGATGTGCCAAAACTTTCTTCAGTTAAACAAAGACAAAACTGAAGTCATTGCGTTTGGCAACAAAGATGAAGTTCTCAAGGTGAATGCATACCTTGACGCTAGGGGTCTAACAACTAAAAATCAAGTGAGGAATCTGGGTGTGTCTCTAGAGTCAGACCTTAGTTTCAGTAGTCATATCAAATCAATAACTAAATCAGCATACTATCATCTGAAAAATATTGCAAGAATTAGATGCTTTGTTTCCAGTCAAGACTTAGAGAAACTTGTGCATGCTTTCATCACTAGCAGGGTGGATTATTGTAATGGACTCCTCACTGGCCTTCCTAAAAAGACCATAAGACAGTTGCAGCTCATACAGAACGCTGCTGCCAGGATTCTGAGCAGAACCAGAAAATATGAACACATCACACCAGTCCTCAGGTCTTTACACTGGCTCCCAGTTACATTTAGGATTGATTTTAAAGTATTATTACTGGTATATAAATCATTTAATGGCCTAGGACCTAAATACATTGCAGATATGCTCACTGAATATAAACCCAACAGATCACTCAGATCATTAGGATCACATCAGCTAGAAATACCAAGGGTTCACTCTAAGCATGGCGAGTCTGCTTTTAGCTATTATGCCAGCCGCAGCTGGAACCAGCTTCCAGAGGAGATCAGATGTGCTCCTACAGTAGTCACATTCAAATCCAGACTCAAGACACTTCTGTTTAGCTATGCATTTACTGAATGAGCACTGTGCCACTGTGTCCGACTGTTTGTACTGTATTTTATTTAATTTTTATTCTAAACTGCTTTAATTATTCTTATTTCTTTTGATTATTTTAATCTCTTTATTCTTAACTGTTTTAATTATTCCTATTTCTTTTGATTTTTTTTTATGTAAAGCACTTTGAATTGCCATTGTGTATGAAATGTGCTATATAAATAAACTTGCCTTGCCTTGCCTTGCCTATTTCACAAAATGCTGTTCTTTTGACTTTCCTAAAGAATCCTGAAAAAAATATATGGCCGTTTCCACAAAAATATAAACTGTTTTCCAAATTGATAATAAAATAACGAAACACTATCAATCGATTGGGGATGTGATCAATCGATATCGATTTGTTCTACTTGAAGTAGCGGCGCAGATCGGTGTATGACATCACTCGCTCTCGCGGTACTTTGATTTCATACAGATACACCGATTGGTCTGCAGTGCTGTCAACACTCACTTGCCAGTTGCCACCACCTACTGCAACCAGGCAACCGGCAGGAAGTGATTCAATGAATGAATCTTTTTAGTAGGCCTATACCGATTCTAAATATTCAAGTCACTTGGACAAATTAAAGGGTTAGTTCACCCAAAAATGAAAATTATCCCATAATTTACTCACCCTCAAGCCATCCTATTATGACTTTCTTCTTTCAGCCGGACACAATCGGAGTTAAAAAAATTTCCTGGCTCTTCCAAGCTTTATAATGGGAGTGAATGGTTCCCTAGATCAGCCTTTCTCAAACTTTTTTCAGTCGGGGCACCTTTCAAAAGTGCATAAAATCTCAAGGCACCCCAGTGTAAAATATAAATTAAAAACACTGTATAACCCAAATGTAAATGCAAATGTCCTGTTTATTTAGACAGAACAGTAATGAACAGAGCATAATACGAACTGTAAATAACAATAACAATAACAATAATAATGACAACTTTACAGGACTATCACTTTTGTGAAAAAATCCTGATCGATTTTTGAGACATAAACGTTCATTGAATCGATTGTAAAATCGATTTTCCATGTCTAAAGACGTTTCCATTTTCAGCGCCAAATATAGGCAAATCCACGGACAACTAACAGGCATTAGCACGAGCGTAAAGAGTGCGCTTGAGACGCGCACAAGTCAGCAATATTTCTGATGATTTATTGGCATGAAGTTTCGTGCACAATGACAAACAGGAGTGCAAGATTCTCGAAAATCAATGAGCAGAGTGGACTGCCATAACATCAATGAAAAACATTACTGCAGGCTTCAACATGGCTGTGTTTACGATTAGAAATGTCAAACAAATTTCGCCTACGTAGGCGATTGTAGGCCGGATCTGTATCTGTATGCATGGGACTGTCTGAATACCGGCAGAATTCACATTTTTGTTGTAAAAAGAGACACGTTATGCAGAAGTATAGTATAGTTTGTATGTGTGTTTGTCAGAGCCTGCAGTTGCTGTGTGACGCGCGGTCGGTGTTGTTGCTATAACGCGGTGCTATGGGTTGCGTCACTTGCGTCAAGTTGTGTGTGTGTCTTGCTTCGGTCTTGTGAGACGGATTTTTATGGTTAATTTTATATATATATATATATATTTATCTAAAATGAATTTACAATTTTATTAATACGTTCATATGTTTAAAAAGAAGAAGAATGTATTTATGTAAATTCAAATATATATATATATATATTTTTTTTTAGCCTACGTAATTTTTTGGCGGCACCCCTGACAAAGTCAGGGGGCACCCCAGTGTGCCGCGGCACCCACTTTGAGAAAGGCTGCCCTAGATTTTGAAGCCCCAAAAGTGCATCCATCCATCATAAAAGTAATCCGGCTCCAGGGGGTTAATAAAGGCCTTCTGAAGCCAATCAATGCTTTTTTGGGTAACACTTTATTTTAAGGTGCTTGTAATAAGCAGTAATTAACAGTTAATAAGACACTTATAAGACCTTATAAGATGCATATAAGATGCATATAAGCATTAACTACTTCATATAAGGGTTAATTAAAGGTCCAGGCCCTGAAGAAATCAGGGAATACTCCCTCTTGGGAAGGTCAATTTTTAAGTGACTGGGAGTTTGTGTTACCATTTATGTTTGTTCGGCTGTTCTAAAAGTGCAATCTATTGATACTTGAGAAATGTATTATTTAATTTAATTTATTTATTATAGTTAGTTAATGCTTATATGCATCTTATATGTATCTTATAAGGTCTTATAAGTGTCTTATTAACTGTTAATTACTGCTTATTACAAGCACCTTAAAATAAAGTGTTACCCTTTTTTGTATAAACTATAATCACTGGCTTCCAGTAACGGCCGTACGCGAGTTCCGGCAGAAGAGTGACCTCTCACCCGACGTATGACATGGGATGTAGGTGTAGCGTAAGCTTAGGTGAGATTAGATGCCTCTCGCGGTTCAAACAAATAGGGCTGGGCAACAAACTCAAGCTCCTCTTCTCTTATATCGAAATCCTCCGTCATTTCTCTTTAAACATTCTCGTTTTAGAATTCTAATTTGTGACCGTTGTTGAAATCGACTCGTGTACGGCCGTTACCGGAAGCCAGTGATTATAGTTTATAAAGTTATAAATATGGATATTTTTCTAACAAAAACGCATAGCTTTGCTTCAGAAGGCCTTTATTAACCCCCCTGGGGCCGTATGGATTACTTTTATAATGGATGGATGCGCTTTTTTGGGCTTCAAAATCTCAGGTACTATTCACTCCCATTATAAAGCTTGGAAGAGCCAATATATTGTTTAGTATAACTCTGATTATATCCGTCTGAAAGAAGAAAGTCATATGCACTCAGGATGGCTTGATTTTTGGGTGAACTAACCCTTTAAACCCCATCAACACCACGCTGGACTGCCTTCCCCATGCACTTATAATGCTTTAAAGCTGCAGTGCGTAGCTTTCTTTGGGTTAAAAATTATCCAAAATACATATTTGAGAAAATACATAACCAGCCAGTGTTCAAAACTATCTGCTTGCCTTAGCTCGATTCAAAGCGGTAAGCTTGTAATAATGTTTTTAACTCCAGTGGTGGATTTCCGCGGGAGATTCGAGCATGTCTTTGCATCATTACGTCACATCTGTAAAGAAGGAGTCTCGGCTAGTCGGCTATGTTGTGAGCGAGGATGCTGGAGGTGGAGATTTATAGCCTTTTCTCACAGCACTTGATATAATTAAACTTATCAATTTGATGGCGGATCCAGAAAGGTTCAAACGACAATCACCAGTGACAACTGGAGACTCACCCGCTGTAAAATCCAAAAGACTTCGTTCGGACTTCGGAGTGGCTACAGAAAACAAGAGACTGCAACCGGACCCATGCGAAAACAAGGATTCATATCGGAAGGACATTACATGTAGTCACGCAATGCTGACGTTGTTCACATCAACAATTTGAGAACAAAGTATAATTTGCACGGTTTTGCGTGATATGATAAGCGATTTAGCGCGATTTACTGCAATGTCAGAACCAGAACAAAAGTGGATATTTCTTACTTGTTCAGATTACATTTTACAGTGAAAATTATTATGTTGGTCATACTTCCAAAAAGAATAATCTGTGATTCTGAATGCCAGTATCCACACCGGCGCAGTGACTGACAGCCTCACAGTCTCCTCAAACATTGTGTTCATCCGCGCTGTGCCGTGTCGAGGGTGTTGAAGTACAACTCACGTAAAGTTGATAATTCCGCGAATGACTGCAATTGCAGATTTCGAACAGAGATGGCGACAAAGAGGAAAAGCTGCGGACTGCAGCTTTAAGAGTAGCTGTATCATGCAAGGGGGTAATCCACCAGCCGGAAACTGAAGTTTCCCCGGGCGCCGCCATTGGCTAACAAGCTTTCACCTGCTGTTAGCATTCCATTGACTCCCATTCATTTTGGCGTCACTTTGACAGCGAATAATTTTACATCTGAGGCGTTTAAAGACTCCATTTGTCCATTGTTTATTTCTAAAGAAACACAACAATGTATAAAAGGCTCCATTACCTTGTGTCTTACGTTATGGCCCCGTAGAAGCAGTTTTTATAAAAATAGGCTAACGATTGCGTCATAACACGCGACTCTCTGTCGCACAGTAGAGAAATTACCGTATAGACAGAAGTAGAAGCTCGCACGCAAACGGGGGACGTGGAGGCATAAAGTCGAGGGAGAAGCCCATAGAGAGTCATGAAGTTGCTCCTGCTGCTCATGGACGGCTAATACTCACGATATCCGGCTCTGCAAGATTCGGAAGGGAATGATTCAGATTCCTCTCGGCACAGCTACTAGAAGACGTACAACTGTAAGACAAGTTGCTCACGTCACATCTACGTCATCAAGCTCAGTGTGAGCCTGCGCAGTGCGCTTGGCAATCAGGAAGTGAGTGCTTCTAATTGACTTCACTTTTCTCCGTTGAAGTCTATTGGGTCGCTGTGTCCATTTCTTTTACTGTCTATGGTGTCATGCTCTTTTGAGCGGCGACACAGTATGAACAGTGTCAGTGACACAATAATGAATCAAATGAAGAAGCTTTTATCCTGGAGATAAAGAAACGAAGACTACAGTCAGAGGAATCTAATGAATCCCGGGAAACGTAGTGTTTAAGCTCAAATGTGTAAAGAAATTTTATATGATTATATGAATGAGCGACTTGTTTTCGAGTTTCGACATAGGCCCTACCTGCCGTGTGGTCTAAGGTGCTGGATTTAGGCTCCAGTCTCTCAGGAGGGGTGGGTTTGAATCGCATTAAATATTCTGCTTGTGTAACTGTATGTGAATACCAGTTCCAAATAGAATTAATTTCCAGATTAGCCACAAGTTGCTTTGAATATGGGTCCATTTTTCGTCTAGTTGGTTAGGTCACTGTCTCCCTTGTCTGTTAAGGTCTGCTAGAGGCCTGCATTTCAGCCCGAGCCCGACGGGCCCCGACTTATTTATGCTCCTAGGGCCGGGCTTCGGGCCAATTTTCACGTCATAGTTCACACGCGGGCCGGGCCTCGGGCCTGTTTTAGGCTTATCTTTTTTATAGCCTATTTTAGACATTAATTAAAATAAAACATGAGAAGATGACGATTGAAAAGCAAACATAGAAAGACGTTTTATAACCTATCACACTGACATAAGACTGACACATGACAGTCTGCTCATGCTCACGCTCACGCACACACACACACACACACACACAAGTTTCCCGGCAGCGCGATCTGAGATTCGCGCGACCGGCTCGTTCTAGTGTCCCGCTATGGTAGCGAGCGTGACTTCAGCGCAGCTGGAAAAAGTACGACTGGATTAAAACCTTCCACTGTGGATGCTGTGCTTTTTCTTCACGATGCTCTGAGACTGTTCTTAGCCATGTTAGGAGGAGGTTGTTTTTTGTTTGATTGGACTTTATTTTCATGAGTCTGTTGGAAACTATTGGAAATGGCCATGTTCTGTAGTGAAGACTTGATTTTTGAGGTAAGATAACCTGCATGTTTGTTTTTAATGTAATTTATTTGATTTGTTTAGATTGCATTCTTGTAGCCTATATTATAAATTCATTTAGTTTGCGAGCGCTGTTGCGACTGAGCAGCAGAGCAGTTTGCCTCAGCTTTTCAAAAATGACAATAAACGTTTAAACTAACGTTAACTGTCTGTGTGATATGCTTAAGTTGTTTTATATCTATGGATTTTATTGTAGCCAAGTAAAGTGTTGATTTGAGAGGCTATAAATCAAATCAATCAATGGATCAAACATGTTTAACTCGCTGTCGGCTGCTTGGTCGTCATAAATTTTGTTTTTTGTTTTTTCTTAATTAACTTTATAAAGAAATGAAAATAAACCTACCGGTAAATACTTTGCCATTGAAAACAAAATATATCTGGTTGGTTTACTGACTGCAACATAGGTCAGGCTGTTTATCTTTTTTTTTTTCTTTTTTTTTTTACGGGCTCGGGTCGGACTCGGGCTGATCATTCTGATGAGCTGTCGGACACGGGCCGGGCTAGGGCCTGAGCGTCTCGGGGCAGGGCCGGGCTAGGGCCTAGATTTGAGGCCCGTGCAGGGCTCTAAGGTCTGCTGTCGGTTTTGATAATATTTGTGTGGCTGGGTGTAAACCAGGTCTCGCCCCTCCGACCCATCTGCGACCTGAGGGTTCTGGATCATTTTGTTCGAGAAGCTCGAGATTCTGAAGTCATCATTGTGAAGTTTCTATAGTGATTCACGCAGAATGTCATGTTATTTTGAGAAACATCACTTCATCTGTCTCTTGTTCTCTCAGCGAGGTTACAGAGGTGGCTGTGGAGTGATGAAATCCTACTTTGTTCCTCAGTCAAAGTAAATCAGTCGCAATTTTCGACGCAGCTGCTTGCAAACAGACTTTTACAATATGGATCTCCCAGCAACGCCACAAACATGTAAGTAACCATGTTTATTCCAGTGCCTGATCTGTGATCAGTGATTTCTGATGTGTAATCAAGTTCAGACAGATAGTCTTTCTCAAATCGTTCAATACTGTTTGTGCATCAGGAAATTAAGCCAGTGACTAAAGGATCAACATCACATCGTTTCTCTTAGTAGGATAAAAATAACGTTAATCTTATTTAAATTGTGATTCAATTACATACAAAAAGCGATCAAAGAACGGTCCCTTTCCAATCGCCCAAGCTGAGTTTATCTGGACACTTGCCAAAACTGGTTATGAAATCAATGACGCCAGGGGCGTCACTAGGATTTTCATTTTAGGGGGGCTAAGCCCCCAATATGATTTTTAAACAAATTATAAAAAAAGGTAACACTTTAGTTTAGGATCTAAAGATCACTATTAACCATTTTCATTACGATGCAAATGCACGGTTTTATAATAACCGTGGTCCCAAATGTGAGGCAGGGCAAATAGGGGGGTTCGGGGTCTCCCCGAGAAAATTTTGATTTCTCTGATCTACATATGTGCATTTTAAGATGTTCTGAAGGCCAAAAAACTTGGATAGTGGGCAGCTGACAATTTTTCTCTCCTCATCAGCAGCATCACTTTTTTTCTCTTTGTTTTTCTCTTGCCCTGTCTCTTCCCCTCCTAAAGCTGAGCTTTGACTGATATAGGCTTTTCATTTTGTCAGTGAAGAAAGTAAACATAGGGTCAACTGATAGGTTGATTTTGCCTATGAATCATTTTCTCAGACGCGTTTATTTACTGAAAGCTACTAAAGGTAATTAAGTTTATTAAATGCATTCACAATATGTAGGCTACACATTTATTATTGATCTTATGCCTAATACAGGGCCGTAGACAGGGCTTTATAATCACAGAGGTCCTAAATTTGAGATTGGTAGGGGGTTCAATTTTTTTATTTCTGATATGTGCATTTCAAGACGTTTGAAGACCAAAAAAAAAGGATAAGAAATAGCTTTAAAACCATGTCAGTGGGCAGATTATTTGTCAATACCTCCTCTCTTCTCATCTCCATCACTCTTCCTTTTTTTCTCAGTCTCTTCCTCCCTTTCTCTTCCCCTCCTAAAGCTGAGCTTTTTTAATTTACTAAAGGCTACAATTTGTATTATATTCTCAATATGTACACATTCATTATTAATCTTGTGCCTAACATGATGAAAACGGCTTTGTTAATGTTTCTTGTAAACTAATTATTACATTACATGAGAGTGTATAGGCCTATTTTCAGTTAAAAATGGCGAAATTAGACAAAACTATATTAGTTTGCCTGATTATTTTTTGTCATTCGTTTAACATTTATGACCTAAAAAAAGTAAAATATGAAATGTTAAGTTTAGCTACTTACATCTTATCTCGCACTTGACCGTACGCGTCGAGTCCATAGACTGTAAAAAATGGTCGTGTCGCACTGTTAAAATTCGCGCTCAGCAGCGTCTGTGAACATAAAGCCCGCCTACTTTGATTTGATTGGTCGTCTCTGACATTGACGAGCAGTGACAGACCAATGAGGCTCAGATGAACACACAAATGAACACACACACCCTGTCCTCTGTTTCTGACGTGCTCTCTGCACGGCGCAGCTGTGGATTGAGAATGTGCTAAATCTGATTATAACAAGACTGAAGCGAACACGAATTTGTGTAGCCTACATTAATCTCACATTTTTAGGGGGGCTTGGCAGAAGTTTAGGGGGGCTGAAGCCCCCCTAAAAAGGGCCTAGTGACGCCCCTGAATGACGCTGTTACACTGCACAACGAAGCTCTTACTGTATTTACAGCGTGTTTGCATTGTTATTTGTGAAAGCATTCGTGAGAGTGCAGAAACTGCGTTGCAATGATGAGATATCTTCATTCACGCGATCATCAGGCTGTCTGTCATCTTCTGCTCAATGCTCACCACTGCAACCTTTCATATGATGGAATAGATTTTTGATGTAAAAATCATTCTAACATTATAAGGGCACCCCAGGAAACATAAAATAATAAAATAATCCAGTTCATGACCCCTTTACAGCGAGTGTATTATGTGAAAGCATTTCAAATCATGTGTCCAGGTTCAGGGGCAGGTCATGGAGGTCCAGACTGGAATGTCAGTACAGCGAAGAAAACAGTGAGCAACTCTTCTCTGGATAACAACATCAGTAACATCCACAGCCTCGGCCAGATCCTGTCTTGATTTACAGGTATAGTAAGAGTGTCGGTGTGAAGTCTTGTTTCTTCTTGACAATTCTGACATTAACATCTAGCATGAGCCTCTTAGCCAATTTGGCATTCTAGGAAATTGTGCAAACGTGCAGTCTGCCCTTTAATTCCTCTCTCTCTTATGTTGTTGGCTGCAGTCAAAGCGGCAGCATGATTCTGGGAAGTGCGTTTTGTTTCCCCAAAGCTTGATAGTTCAGTGACTGTGAGGCGAAGTGTAGTGCTGTGGAGATGCATGTCTGTGTGTTTGCACTGCAGGCGTGTCATAATAGCTGTCCGTGAGTGGAGGGTGTTGCAATGGTAGCATACTAACCTTTTAGGGAACTGAATATTTTAAGCTACTTCTGTCATGAAAGATGCAACATTTCAAGAACAGCTCAGCGCTAGACATGAATTTTGGACATGATCCTTCAGAAATCATTCTGAAATGCTGATTTGCTTCTCAAGAAACATTTCTTACTGTCAATACAATGTTGAAAAGAGCTTTGCATAATATTTGTTCTGGAAACTGTGCAAGATTCTTTTCAGGATTATTGGATGAATAAAAAGTTACAGTATTTGAAATAGAAAACTTTTGTAACATTATAAATGTCTTTAGTGTCAATTTAAATTATTTAATGCACCCTAATTAAATTATTTTAATCTTACTTTCCCCAAACTTTTAAATGGTTTTTAACACTGATACTAAGAAATGTTTCTTGACCACCAAATCAGCTGAAAATTCAGCTTTGACATCACAGGAGTAAATTACATTTTTACTGTGTGTGTGTCTACAGTTGTAATCGAAATTATTCAACCCTGAATAGAATCCCTCACAACAGCACAAATCTGCAAAAAAGGTGTTGTCTCAAGCACACCTGATGCAACTAATCAAGGGCTTCATTAGTTGCACCAGGTGTGCTTGAGCTAGAACACATGAAATATCTGAACTGGCTAGGCTTGTTGAGTGTCACGTTTGACTGCATGTTAGAAATATGGCTAAGTCAAAAGAAGTTAATTGGACAGTGGTTACACTACCTGGACGGAGCAGAAAAAGGAATCTATCGACTGCTGCAGAAAAACCAAAAGACCTGCAGCAAGACTTGCTGGCAACAGGCACTGAGGTTTCAGCTTACACAGTGAGGCGCGTACTAAACGGATGCCAGAACTCCAAGACGTACACCACTACTGACCCAAAAGCACAAGAAAAGTCACCTCCAATTTGCTCAAAATCATATAAAAAAGCTACAGAAGTTTTGGGATTCGGAAACAAAACTGGAACTTTTGGGCCCTATGGATCAGCGGTATGTCTGGAGGAAGAAGAATGAAACATAATGCTGAAAAGAACACCCTGGAGTAAAACGTCATGCCATCACTGAGGAAGATGAAGCTTGGGCGTCATTGGACCTTTCAACAGGACAATGATCCCAAGCATAACTCAAATTCCACCAAGGCTTGAATATTACCGATTTGGAGGGCATTGGTAATGAGGAACGGGCTAAGATTCCTAAGAAACGCTGCCAGAAGCTGGTGTCTGGTTAGGGGTTGAATAATTTTGAGACTGCAGAAGTCATTAAAAGTGGTATTTTCAGTTGAATTTGGGGAAACCACTTGAAACATTTGTTGTGTTGAGCTATTTCAATTACAACTGTATATATCTTCTTTTTTTTTTTTCAAAAAAGAAAAACTTTTTGGCCTCATTATATATATTGAATTACCAACCACCCCCACAAAAAAAAAAAAAGGTTTCAGTTTTGCAATTCAGATAAAGCCGTATTTAAATAAATAAACAAATAAAATGTCAGTTGAATAGACAATAGAGATGGCTAAATAATTGTATGTCTGGAGCAGACTTTGCTGATTTTATTGCATTCTAAATATGTAATTCAGTCTAATGGGATTTTTCGCACCATAGTAAACCACGGCCCCAATATATGATTCATTGCTGTCTGTAACAATGAGAATTAATTAAAGGCTGCATCAATATACATCAATCATCATCAGTGAACCATTCCCAGGGTGCTAAAATATAATGAATCATGCTTAAAATATAACACTAGAGTACAATACATGAAATGGGAGGGGTAACTAGCTTAGTAGCCAAAGCCGTTACCAGTAGTTGATTTTCACACTAGAAAACTGTCTTGGTTTGTTTAACGTGTTAATCAGATTTTAGAGCGGCAATCTATCCATTTCATACATTTTTGGGATGATCAATTTTCTCTAATTAGTCGGTTCTGTTTCCGCAGCAGGCCAGGTCCACAGTTCTTCCAGATGATTCAGCTCCTGCCAGCTCACAGATGCAGGAGGTCTCCTCTCTCCCAGAACTTCTGCAGGTGCAGAGCAGTTTCCTGCGAGGCAAAGTCAGACTCCTGCTTTCAGCTGCACCAGCCTGCCAGCGGCAAAACAGCTGATTCGACGAACTGTTTACAACAGTCACGCGTACAAACAAACCCGGACAAAAACGCTTGATTGTGACTCCTTCCTCAATCTTAAAGAGCTTATACTTTCCGGGTGTCGCTCTTCAAATGCTCTATTGCATTTAAAAGCCTGCAGTCATCTAAAGTATGCATCACGTGCAGAGTGAAGCAAAACAGTAGAGACACCTTGACGTATTCAACAAGGCGATCTTGGCAGAGGAACCTGGGGAGCCCACAAGTGGACCCGCCGCTGACTCAAAGGCTCATAGCGGTTTGGCGAACAGCTTGTCCTGCCATATAAGGCCAGCTGGACTAGTACACGCGAGACACTTTTATTTAATTATCTTTGTATGTACAGTTTTTCTACAAATCCATGAATTGTTCATGCTACTGCTATTTGTTTTGTTTTTTAGGACACAACCCTCTTTCTGGGATGTGTACGTTTAACCGCAGGACCAAAGGCCTGTGTAGGGTTCAGCAAGGTTTGCCATGTGGACGCAACACTGTGAGGCTGCATATGCTTCCATCTACAGGACAAAACAACACGTTTAAACGGAACTGTAAGAAAACATAAATAAAATAAGCAAATAAAAACGGTTCATATTATTTTTGAAAGTAGACATAATTTAGGACAACAACATGCAAAGAAAGAGACAGGCCTGTCTGTATGTTTAATAGCCTTTTTAATGTTGTCCAGTTCAGATACACAACATACAGTGTGTAGTAGCCTGTATAGGAAATAGAAATATGAATTTCATTCTTTAGACCAGTTGCGGTCACACAGTCCCCTCATCAAGCCTTTTTTTACGTTGCTGAAATTCAACAAAATGAAACTCAACAGGTGCAAGTCTTTTTCTTTTTTTTTTGGCGACCAAGCATTAATACTCAACAGTTGTGTTTCTCAGTATTTTTTTCTTTAAATCCTCTATAATACATAGGCAACCCAGACAAAAAGTATCACCATGTATGTCTGGTGAGAGTGTGCTTTATATGTCTGTCAGTTGCCGGTAGAATCATCTCTCTCCCTTTATTTTGTAGAAAAATATGAACTGTTTAAATTCTCTACTTTGAAATATATGCAGCTCAAATTCACAACAAAGAGATAAGCCAGAACTCTGTGAAATCCCACTTTCACTCCAACAAAACTCCAATGGTTTGGGAAACATTACATTTCTAAGAACTTACAACCAGGTAAGAGAAAACAAACACCCCACAGTGTCATTTAGTCCACTGAAGCGTAATGAAGAACACCCAGGAGAATGACTCAAACAGCAGGCCTCTCCAAAAACAAAACAAAAAAAAAAACGGCTGACTCTAGCGATTTGCATCCTATCGCCTTGTACGTGGAAATAAAACGAGCTTCTCCAAATAAACTTTCTCATTTAACTCTCTCCAACTAAATATTCTGATTAGAGCCTGATCGGTTCCACCCTCCGTTTTTCAAATGAAACAGAATCAGATGCAGCCAGCGACTCTTTTGTCCGCCGCATTGTCGGGCCTTGCAGCAAATTTGACTTCCAAATGCAATTATTCTCATCAAATGCGCTCATTCTTGACTCAATATATGCTCTAATGTGGATTCGCTTCATTCCCGCTTCCCTCAACATTCATTACGATTTAATGTCTTTTGTCAAAAATATCTGTAAACCTTCAAATGAAAATCTAATAGGGTCTTCAGGAGGGATGTGATTGGATGAATGAGCTTGCACCTGTTTTTACAGTGGATACGATTGGCTGTGAACCCAACAATAAACAAAATATTTACAAAGACCATGTCATCTCTTACACTTATAAAAATGTACAGTTTGCATCTTGTGTTTTTCGTCATGGCATGACAGAAAGTGGTCTTGTGTGTTTTTCATCCACCCACCGACAAGAAACTCCAAAAACAAGACAATGAGAGAACAAAAAATGGATGGAGATGAGATCGGTGTGCACAGTTGCTTGCGTTATGGATCAGAAATGTATATTTAAGTGGTGCGAGGAGTGATGCCTCGTCCACTGTAGAGTAGTGCACCTCTTCAGGCTGCGTAACGGTAGTGTGTTTAGTTTCTGACCGTCACCGTGGCTCAAACCTGATGTATGAAGCTTCCAGAGTCAGTCTCCAGAGCTCATTTAGAGGCCACATCTGTCCTGTTCCTCACACACGCGCGAATGCAAACGGCCCATCTCCCATTTCCTCTCGTTCTCGGCACCCTGAAAAAGAGATTTCGTAAAAAAAAAAAAAAAAAAAAAAAACTTTGAGAAGTGAGAGGTTGAATCAGAAGGTCTTATGGGGACTTGTGACAGGGCATATAACAAGATGTCCGCCTGATGACAAGTGAGCTCAAACTGAGATAATCACTCAAAGGTCAGTGTCAGTGAGGGGGAAGAATGTTCTGGACACGTCATGAGCTCTCTTGGGCTCTGGATAAAAGAGAGATACGGAGAGACTCCAGCTGTGCGGGGACAGGCGCAGGTGTTGATCCCGTCGCTCTGGACGTCCAACTCAGCAGAGTCCAAGTCTTGACGCCGAAACGGAGAGAAAGAGCGACAGCGAATGTTCCTTAACTCAATGTGGCGTAATGCGCGGGTAACTACAGAGGACTATTCGAGCGGAGAGAGATAAAAGGGTTAAGAAAGGAGAGGATCATGGATCTGATCAGTCCTTCTCTCTGAGATGAGCTTTGTGGTACGGCTTCCATAATTATAAATGAAAAAAAGAAGGGAACTATTTATCCTCTTTATTATCGTCAAGAATCAGTTTCATTTCCGGATACGACCATGTATCTACAGAGGGAAAAGAATCTCCAAATGAAGTGCACAAAATATAGCTGATGTAAGAAAAAAAAGAGAAAAAAAAGAAAGAGAGAGAGAGAGGAAGAGAGAGAAGACTATTGCAGAAAAAGACAACAATAAAAAGACAAATAATCAAGAGTCTTGAATCTCAAATGCGGAACAAATTCTCTTCAAGATATCCATTTTCCTCTTAAAAAATAAATCATGCAAATTTCCCAAAGCGCAATCAAGGTATAAATTTAATTATTCTATATCTTTACTTTTTATATATATATATATATATATTTGTAGTAGTTGTATCTAGTTGTTCATTTCTCCCCATAGGCAAATAACAGTGACAGTGCAGAACAAAAAGCAAAAACAAACATAAAAACGAGAAAGAGACCAAAGAAAACAAAAACAAATTTGGCACTTTTTTTCTCAATTCTGCAAATTCCTTGAATAAATCCAGTTCAGGCGATTCTCTCCACGTCCGTCCACAAGACTGCGTCTGATTGGACGATGATCACAGTACTTGGCACAAGAATGCTGGTAAAAATTAGATAGTAGAATCTTTTTTTTCATTCATAGCCTTATAAGGTTATCAATAATACATATTATACACGTATGTTTTCTTGATTTATAAAACAGTCCGAAGTAGGAAAAACTGTTCTTTTTTGGGGGACTAGAAACAGCTACAGAAGAGCAGAAGACTGTCAGGGAAGAAAAAAAGGAAAAGAAAGAGAAAGACGGCAATGTAACGTGAGTAAAAAAAGAAAGAAAAGAAAAAAGAAAACAGGGGAGGGGATAGCTGCTGTATTGAGTGGGGAAAATGACGTTTCTCCACCCAAAACCTTCTCCGCTACTCAATCCAAGAACAAGAGGAGCAGGAAGAGTAAAACAAGAAAGAACGAGAGAGAAACAGTGTGTGCTGGGAGTGGACTTAAAAAGGACAGGAGCGGTGGGTTGGACAGTATTCGTGTAGAGCACCACTCTTAGTACCGGAGGTCTGTGTTCCTATGCGTTTGGGGGGCCTGGTCCCCTCAGAGGGGTCACTATACTCGCGTGGTGGAGTGCTGGTGGGGCAGGGCGTTGTTGCTGTGCCCAGCACTTGGTGCAGGGGCAGGGGGGTAAGTGTTGAATGCATGGAGGGGCTGCATGCCAGTGATGGTGCTGGGGATCATGGAAAGTGCGTTAGCCGTCATGAGTGGCACATCCTCGGGGGCCCGCCGTAGCGCCAGAGTGTAGTCTGGCGGGCACACGGGTGGTCTCAGGGGCTCCAGGTCGCCGAGGAGACCACGTGTTGGAAGGGGTGTGCCGTGGTCGAGCTCCACCCTCTGCTGCTTCATCTGCAAGGACATTAGCTCCTCCTCCTGGCTCAGTGCCAGGTCGTTATGGGGCGGAGCCCCCACAATGCCGATACCCGGCGCCGCCCCACGCTGGGGCGAGAGACGACGATGGCGCCGTTGCAGCAGCTCGTGCCGTTTGTCACGTTTGTAGTACAACGCAGCAAACGCCAGTACGTTGAGGAAGAGCAGCGACGCACCCACTGCTACCGTCACGCTCAGCTCCGTCGAATAGTCCCGCGTGTCACTCGGGAACGGGAAGCGCTCAGGAGGCTGTTCGGAACCTTCCAGGTCCGGGTCGGGTGGGTATGTCGAAACCGTGGGATGGCGAGTAGAGCGTGTGCCTGGACTTTGGGGCGTGCCCTTCCAGCCGGGCCGGTGCGGGCCGCCAGGCGGCAGTCGTGTGGTTAAGGAGGTGATGATCTCCTCATGGAGGGTGTGCAGGTGAGGAACCAGCTCAAGCCAGAAGGCAACTTTGTTGGCACGGTAATTGTCCCGGATGCGAGGCTTCAACCCGATGTGGAGGTACTGCTTGTCTTTCGAGCTGAACTTGGTCCAGATAACTTCTTCAAAGCGATTGGGCTTAGTATGGATGAACTTGGTATCCTGCGGCACTGGAATGTTCGGATCACTGGTAAAAAAAAGTTGAAAGAAAGTCAGGACAGGAGAAGCAATTGTAATTGTAAATTGAAATGGCAATTGTATTCTGGTCTCATTGAATGAACAAATTCGAACTCTCACCCCGTCTTGGCGAAGTTGGTCCAGTACGTCATCACCACAGCGCTGAGCATGACATCGTTCTTGGAAAAGTTGCAGGGAAATAGATCTGTGGCGCCCACCATGGGAACACCGAACACATAGGGGATCTCGTCACCATGTGCTGCGTCTGCCCACTCAGGTCGCGCCTCCGTCTGGCAGTGGTGGTGGAAGGTATAAAAATAAACGGGGGACTGGAACTCAGCGTGCAGCTTAGCTGTGGCCACTGCTGGCGCCACCCACTGGTGATCGGTGAAAAGTGCAAGTAGAGTTTTCCGCCGCATGTCACCGTTGTCACGGTCGGCCCAATCTGTGTACATGAACTTTATAGTCTCCCGCAATATGTCTTTACCTAAGAAGGGACAGAGAGAGAGACCAAGAGAGAAAAAGATGGATGTTGGATGATGAAAGACAGAGTTGGTTGTCACACAAAGCAGGGCACCTTGACCCAATATAGGAGACAATGAGACAGAAAGACCCAAGGTGAGGGGTAAAATTAGACTGATTACCTTGAACAACCGCTAAAAGAATGTGTTGTGTCATTTGATGTGTACTCAATGCACATTTATCAAAGATTTTTTTCATCCTGGAGAATCTTCTTTGGAGCACAAAGCAAATCTTTTGACTCAAATAACTTTTAATAGGTACTCAATTCAGTGCCTGATTAAAAATCCTACAAAATCATTTTATTAACATACTTTTGGTTGAATATGTAAATATGACAAATAATGTATTTTAAATTACAACAGAAGCAATAAATGGTCCTGCAAGTTTAACATACAACTAACAGATAGATACCTTTCAGTGCTGGGTGGGTAGTAACTTAATATATGATTATGTAATCAGATTCCAAAAAATAAATACTTACAATTCGATTAAATTATGTTTAAAAAAAAAACTCAATCAGAATAGTTACTTTTTTTATTGATTACATGATTACTTAATATTTACAAAATGGCAGTAAATTATTCACAATTCATTGATTCTCCCTAATTCTTCTTCTTTTTTTTTTTTAAAATCTTTTCCTTTCTCAAAAGTTTTGTGGAATTGCACTCAGATCGGCCACTAGTCAGGCAACTATAATTACCGGTACAAGGAGAATTGAGATGCCACCCAGCATAAACAAATAAAACATTTAATCTTTTTTTTTGTAAGTGATTTATTTTGATTGGTTTTATTTTTTTTATAATTTAACTTTTTAATGATTTAATTAACTAAGCTTTTCATAAATTTATGAATCCCTGCAGTTCCTTCCCAAGTTAGAGAAATGCGCTTCATGTTGTCACAAAATTGAATAACTTTTCTTTCTTTGTATTTTTTATCAGTGTGGCACAAGATTATACAATTAAAATCAATATTCTAAACAAGTTAGATTAAAAGTAATCTAAAAGTAGTCGAAATATATAACTTAAAATGTGTGGTGTTGGTGTAATAGATTACGTTACTAACTACAATTTTTTTCATGTTATTTGTATTCAGTAATGGACTACAATTTGTAAGTAATCTACCCAGCAAATTACATTAGTTTTCTAGTGTGTCACAATAACATGATATATTTTTAACAGGCATTGGGGTCAGATGTTAACTCAGTAACTGCTCTGATGGATTCAGTGAGTTTAATTATTCAAGGATTTGTCAGAGTGATTCAAACTAATAAGTGGTAAGTTTGTATTAGTGGTTCATTAAAATGAACTGATTTATAAGAGTACTCAGGAATCAAATTATGCTTAGTCTCTATGCTTGTTTTTGAGTGTAGCCAGCATTTGCAATGCAATAGAAATCCATATAATTGTGCCATTATTTTGCACTTTCTCTTAAATCGTCAAATGATATATATTTTTTACATAAATAATTCTGAATGCATACAACTCGGTGAACAGTACAGTTTCTTTTGATGTTCTTCTCACTGTTGATTCAGTGGCGGCAATGGCAGCGCAAACACTGACCTGTTATAGTGCAACTCACCATCTGGGTATCCGTATAGGTTGTCCACAAAGTTGGATATGGTGTAGTCAAAGGAAGCAGCTGAAATTCCATCCTCACCCTCACTGTCATCTACAAATTTCAGCCCTTCACCCTGGTTCACCCCCAACAGGATGTCGTAGTTCAGGAACTCCCCCTGAGGACATTGCACAAATGTCACCCACAGTACTCACTTTCGCTAATGAACTGTCATGATTATACTCTGGGATCACTCTAAACTCTGGGACCTTGCAGTGTCCAGAATCACACCTGCTGCATGAGGATCTCAGGGTCATCGGGCACCACGTCTCCGTCCACCACTGGTCCGAATGCGATGTGGTAACGGGCAGGTTGGATATCCTGATCCACCAGCTCCCTGAAGCTCTTCCTTCGCAGACAGTCCACCAGATCTGCAGTGTCGCTGTAGCTGCAGCCCACCTTCTTGGCCAGGATCTTGGTGTACATCAGGGGCCGGTAGTTCACTGACCAGCTGGATATGGCGGAGCCACTCTGAGCAATGGCCCTCTGGAACAATCCTGAAACCAGGGCTAGATATAAGCAATGACTAAGAAAAGTCAGATAGCAGGCTATAATGTGAGTGAGTCAATGTGGACACTGAGTGTCCCATGACCATGAGCAAGATAAAGCCACTGAATATCTTTATCATCACACAAGGAAAGACAGTGGAACTTTTTTCCATCATTTTTTGCAGTTCTGTAAAACACAAATCAGATTTGATTTCATAATGTGTCATGCATACTCAGGTCCAGATTTACAATGTGGACTTTTGGAACTGTGCTAACATGGAGGAAGTTTTCTGAGCTCATGCTGGTCTTCAACGGGGTGTAACCAATAACAACATGAACCAGCAAATCGGGGCTCGTTTAATGTGAGTTTTAAATAGGGCAGGTAGAAACTCTGATTCACTTGAACGAAAGTGAGACAAAGTGAACTAATCAGTGTTCGAAAACGCTCTGGATGAGCATGAGGAAACCATCTTGGATTTCAGAACCCTGCTGCACCGTTATGTAAAGTGTCCCACGGTTTTCATCTGCAGATTCTGTTATTAATTATTAAAATGTCCCCCCCCCCCAGTCACACACACACACACACAATACTCATTACAAGACCCCCCAGCTCCAGTTCCCTATGAAATCAATTAAGAATCAGCTCAGCTGCAGTCCAACACTTCTGCATCACACACACATAGTTGTACATGCTGCTCATTATAAATTTGTCTCACATCTCTCCATTTCTATCACACAGCACTCATTATAAACTGGCATCAAATGCAGATGCACGTGTGATCTCGAGATAGCAGTATAAATCAGTCTCTCTCACACACACACACACACACACACACACACACACACACACACACACACACACACACACACACACACACACACACACACACACACACACACACACACACACACACACACACACACACACCGCAAGGCAGTGCCAAAAATCAGTCTCACTTTCACACAGCCGCACAATATATCAGTATATTAAAAAATTCAGAACATAGAATAACATTGTAAAAACATACAGCATAAAAGGATTAAAGACTTTAAAGGGTTAGTTCACCCAAACATTTTAATTCTGTCATTAACTACTTACGTTACAAAATTCATGCTTCATAAAATTGAGGTTAAACCACTGGAGTCACATGGATTATTTTAACGATGTCTTTACTACCTTTCTGTGCCTTGAAAGTGGTAGTTGTGTAGCTGTCAATGGAGGGACAGAAAGCTCTCAGATTTCATTAAAAAGATCTTCAATTGTGTTCCGAAGATGAACGAAAGGGTTACGGGTTTGGAACGACATAAGGTTGAGTAATTAATGACAGAAATTTCATTTAAACCTTTTAAAAGAACAGTTCCAAATATCCAAATACAAAAGTAATTCAGATTTTTAAATGAACTGAGGGTCAGTCAATGGGTCAATGGCAAATGAGAGCATCCATGATAAAGAGAAAGAAAAAATGATTCTAAAACACACATCATGTTCTTAGAAATGTAATCTTTCTACTGATGTTGGTTTTATATGGTTTTGAAGTAAGCAATAAGGTTCTCGAGGCTAGTGCTGTATCGAGAATAAGTCACGGCTGAAGGGCACGTTGTGCTTATTAACCTTTTTACTGAATAACCTGAATAACCTTTTATAAAGTGGTAAAACCACACAATACAAATATTAAAGCCGAAAAATATGTATCTATGCAACTTTCATGAAGTAAAATCACTAAAAGCCTTCCTTCTGCTGAAAAAAATAGTCCCTGATCGTAAACAGCAACAGAAGTTACATACATTATTTCGCCATTAGATGGCGGCAAAGACTGTCTTTATGAGTGAGTCAGTCAGTAGAGAAGACTTTTACATTGAAAGGACTCAAACTTGTGAACACGAAAAAAAAGGACGCCACTGACAAATGACTAGGGCACGGGAAATCCCCTTAACTGTTAAAAGGACAAGATATTGCAGCGGACATTCAAACTGTTTTTTTATTTTTTTATTATGAATATAGGACTGACCTGAAGGAAAATGCGGTGTCTACTATAAATGCTGGTACACTCGCTTACTCGATCTCTCACAATACTATCCTCTAGCTTCAATGAACAATATCAATGAGATCAGGGGTGTTGTGTAGTGATACATAGAACCGTTGTGTAGTGAAGCGGTCATAGCCGTGTTTTATCGTGAATAAAACACAGCTATTGACCAATCAGAATCAAGGATTGGAACTAACCGTTTTATAAAAACATTTATACCATTTTCAAGGAAAGTTTAAATTTCTCTAAAATATCATGTGATGTAAAAAAGTAATACGTTTTGTTTACACCTTGTGAGTGTACAGAACAGAATATATTTTCAAAGTAAATGTTTTGTTTTATACAGAAGCCACGAATTCAATTATTAATTCCAAAATATCCATTTTTGGGGACTTTTTGCATATTTTGCAACCTCTCATTTTTTAAGAATATTTTAAGAGATTTACTGACCTTGATACTGCTTTTCAAATATTAATAAAAGTGAAGCAGACATGTTAAAATAATAATAATAATAGAATAATAGATTGTCAAACTACTTAATAATGTATACTTTTGAAGAATTGTATTCTTTTAAAGAGGCTTGTCTCTTTATTATGATATCAGGACAGTTTTTTTATGTTGTTTTTGACTTTATGCCACCCCATATAAATTTAAAATTTAATATAGAAATGAAAAAAAAAATCTCATCATAGAAGAGGTGTATTCATGTCACTCTACACTACCATTCAAAAGTTTGGGGTCAGTAAGATTTTTTATGTTTTTGAAAAAAGTATCTTATGCTCATCAAAAATACAGTAAAAACAGTAACATTGTGATATACAATTACAATAAAATAAATATTTTTCTATTTTAATATATTTTATAATTTATTTTTTGTGATGGCAAAGCTGAATTTTCAGCAGCCATTACTTTAGTCTTCAGTGTCACATGATCCTTCAGAAATCATTCTAATATGAAAGAGACATGTGAAGGCCAAGTATGGTATCCCATACTCTGAATTTATCCTCTGCATTTCTTTAACCCATCCAACTTAGTGCACACACATTAGGAGTGGTGAGTAGTGAACACACACACTGCAAAGCGTTGACACACACACCCAGTGGGAAGCCATTCACTGCCGCGCCCGGGGAGTGATTGGGGGTTAGGTGCCTTGTTTAAGGGCACCTCAGTCGGTTACGTTGTAAATGTCTATAAATGTCTTGAATGTTATAAATGTCGTTATAAAATGTGTGTCACTTTTGATCAATTTAATGAGTCCTTATTGAGTAAAAGTATTAATTTATAAAAAAGAAAAGAAAAACTCTTACCGACCCCAAACTTTTGAATGGTAGTGTATGTATGCATTAAATTTCGAATGCATTACTAAATAAATGAATAGAGCCAGACACAAATGAGCATCCTAAAATTAGTAAATTTTGAAAAGAGTAATTTTTTTTGGGTGACCTTCCTTTAAATTATGGAGCTCTTTATTGATGATGATCACAGTGTAGAGACTTTAAGGATGAACCAAACACGAATTAATCTTTCTAATCTCTCATGGGATTTATTCAAATGTGATTCAGCATTTCGGATCTGAATACCACATTCCAAAGTCACAAGACTGGCTCCAAATTGTCTAGAAAACCCCCCAGAGAAGACTTTTATGGCCCAAGAGATAAGCCTAAACAGGAAGAACGTTGTCACTGTCTCATCCTTAAGCAAGACAAAGCTGCTCAAAAATGGTGAAACAGGCCTGACCACCAAGGGGCCTGACAACCTTTGACCTCCCTCAGCACCACCACTGCTGAGCAGGACAGCGATGTAAAACAGACCACGCTTTCACGGAACGTGAGAGACTTACAGACTTCACATATCAAACCAATTAAAACTCACGCAGAACAATGCTCCGTGGACTTAATCAAACATCATAATTCTTGTTGTTCCTACAATTCATGTTTGTATTATGCGTAGATCACATATAAATCATGTAATTGTGATATAACTGTGTGTATGGATGAAAGAGTATCGTGCTTCCAATCAAAAGAATCGTATGTCTTTAATTCAAAAGGTGGCTTGTTTGAAATCTGTGTAAAATGTTTTGTATGATTATAATAATCTATAATGTTTAAACTGGGGTCTCTTGTTCTCTGCTAAGTGCTGGAACCCAAGCAGATCCCAGATAACGATAACTAGGAACTCGATCCACCTCCCAAAATGATGCCATTGTCTCATTGGTCAGAATTCTCCAAAAGAGGTCGGACTAACTTTAAGTTAAAGACCCGAACAAAGGAGTTAGAGTAAGAGTTAGAAAAAGAAATTCGGTTCAGAGAGCAGTTCGGGGTTTTGAGTTCGGTTCGGTGTTGAACTAAGTTTGCGCCTCTCTCTAGCAACAGCAAGAGAGTGTTCCTGTTCGTGCTTCTCTCTGAAAACACCAAAGAGCGTGTTCGCACGCTTCTACATCGACCAGACCAAATTAGACCAGCAGACAAATAACCCATCAAGATCGGGGTTAAAACAGCTCATTCAAGCCATCTAACTCGTCTTACTTTCATTTCTTCCTTTATTTTCTTGTTTTCGTAAAAGTCTCGGTTCAAAGTTAAGTTGCTGCGAAGTTCGTTTAAACGTCTCTCCTGCAACGCGCTTCAAACTGTAAAGACTCTTATTCGCCTGCCAACCACACGTGACCGGCTGTTCAGAAACTTCCATCCAGGCACTTCAAAGACAACCAGCCACACGGACCCGGTCGGGAAACCCCTTTGACGAAGCACCGCAAAAACGGAACTCCCTGAGCAACACAAAGACAAGCAAGTAACTTACTCCAGACTCTAACTGACTGGTGCTTTAAATGTAAATTGAATAACCTGTCTAAGAAACGAAGGTTTAAATTAATGCTTGGTGGTTCGTTCAGGTCATGTCTTACAAAGTGCATCTCACGTGAAAACTCACTCTCTCTCTCTTCCTCTGCGCCTTGTATGAATGCGTGTGTGTGTGATTGTGTTTAGACCTTAGTTTTATGTGTTTAGAATAGTTAATAAAGTCGTCATTATATTTGAAAAGATATTTGCCTTGTGTTGTGCTTGCACATTTAATGTCTTGTACTGTCGATCTAAAGTTACCTTGCTAATACATAGTGTTTCACTATAGATTGGATATTCATATCTGTTGCCAAGGTTATAATTACGGCCCGTTCAAATGAACTCTAAACGAGTCATTTGCTCGGTTCCATAGTGATTCGGTCAAGATTCATTGCAAATCGATGAATCATTCCTTTTGAGCTAAATTGGCCTTCCGGCCCCCTTAAATACATTTTATGTATATTATTATTGTGTGATTCGTTACAACAGCTACGGAGGTTCAAACCTTCAGAATGATGGGATAGGATGAGAAGGTTGACGCAAGAGGCTCCGGCCCCGGAGCCAAATATGGTGATTCTCTCTGGGTCTCCTCCAAAGTGTCCGATGTTCTCATTGAGCCAACGTAGAGCCTGAATCTGGTCCAGTAGCCCATAATTCCCCTTTGCAGACTGATCTCCAGTGCTCAGAAAACCTGTGGGGAGCAAGAGAGTTAGACAAGAGAAAAGATAACAGACAGTGTGGAGCAAAATAAAAACAGCATGATCAATACATGTTGATCAAGAGCAAGCAATCTGAGCCTGAGAAGAGCAAAGTGCATTAGTAAAATGAAAGAATGAAATGAGGCAGAGGACTAAAGCTTTAATTAGACATGTTCATTTGGAACTTCCTGTTCCTATTTGGAATGAATCATTTTAATGTTTACAAAAGACTTGAATTGGTCATTAATAACAATTGTACACTATATGATATACTTGTACAAAGTCCTGTACTTTGCATGTTACTGTGTTAACAGATGATCTACCGGAGGAGCTGTTTACTGTATTCCACAACGCAATGTGCTCAAACTCATTATTTGATGTAAAAAAATTGTAGGCATTGTTAAATTTATACTGCGCAGTATACAGTACATTAGTGTTTTTGAAAGAACATTTTAAGTGAATGATTCAATGACTGAATCCTTTGGGCCACTTAGTGGTCGCCAACTTGTGAAGTTGCCAACAGGAACGGTGACTGAACAAATGAGTAAAAAAATCAAAACTTATTCAAAAGACTCAAATCACCGCATTGCCAGTTCATAAATCTATTAAAAATTGAAAACACAGTAAGTCTCTTCAATTACAGTTCTATGAAAGCCTTAGCAGAACGTCACAATCTTTAATGTCAAGATTTAGGACACTTTCCCTCATAAGATTGGAGTAAACTTTTATTAAAAAAGAGCATGTTTATCGATGTATAACATTAGAAAACAACAGTAGGCATTACTCTGGCACAGTATACAGTAACTAAACAGTACATTAGTGTTTTTAAAAGACTCTTTTAAGCGAATGATTCAATGACTGAATCTTTGACTGGTGAACGGTGAAATGATTTAAAAGATTCTAATCATCCCACTGCTAGTTCATAAATCTATTTATAATTGCTCAAAAACATATGTGTCTAAAATTACAGCACTATGAACGCTTCAGCAGAACATATTTTCATCTGTGATGTTCAGTACCTCAGGGATGCTGGGGTGGGTTTGATGCATTAACGGTTATCATTGCTGGTGAGAGGAGTTTTATTATCATCTTGTCAAGTCCATCTTTATGACGGGTCTAGCCGATTAGCCAGTTTAGACATTTGAACCCGTTGTTCTTTGGTTAGCAGAAGCTTAAGTGCTCACTGCTCACATACACATACATACTTTAAAATAGGAAGCCCACATACCATAATGGACCTCTAAAAATAATACATGCTACTGCTCATTAAAATGGACCGTATGTGGCTCTCGAGTCACGGTGTAAATGAGAACTAAAGAGCTTATGTAAGACTGTCTATTTTATTACTCGAACTGAACTGGTGATGCACTAAAAACATGATAATGTAGAGAGAAAAAAAATATTTCACATGTCTAAGAAAGCACTCTTCAGACTGTGAAAGATAGGCTTCCACTGGAATATTAAAAGAAATGGGGAAAAGACATAAAAGGGGAAAAAGAGATAAAAATAGACCTATGCTTAAAAGCTACGTGCCCTCAGACCCAATATAAAAGCCAGTGAGTGTGACTGTGTGTGTGTGTGTTTTAGAGAAAAAGAGCAAGTCAAAGAAACTAAGAGGGACGAGTAGAGAAAAAGACAAACTGCCATGTTGTTTTCAGGAGTCAGACCTGTGAGGAAGACGACAAGCGTCAACATACGGCACATCACATCACAAACAACACACAACAGATCATAAACTCGGCACCTCTACATATAAAAGGCTCTCTCCGTGTGTCATAGATGGAGGAATATACAGGAATAGAGCTCTTTGAAAATGTTCATTACAGATGTTAAAAAAAAGCTTTTGACGTCTGAAAGTCCCAAAAGATGATAATGACATTGTTTTAAAGGATATCACAGCCTCTGCTACATTCTTTTACATGCTATAAAAAATAGTAGCATGTATTTATGACCGAGAGCATCATTATTCTAAACTGTTGCAATTGTTTCCATGACAAAATTCCACGGATTTGGCATTTATGCTATATTTTAAATAAATACAGCCTATATTTTTGCTCCATTCCTTGAAATACCACCTTCACAATCAAAAGTTTGATTCAACAATACAGTAAAACATTTATATTGTGAAACATTATTTCAATTTATAATAGCTGTTTTCTGTTTTAATATATTTTAAAATGTCATTTATTATGCACATTTTTTTTTATTGTGTCTTTTGTGTGTCATGATCCTTCTGAAATCATTATAATATGCTGATGTGGTGCTCAGGAAACATTATATATATATATGTATATAACAAAACAGCATTTATTTGAAATAAAATTGTAAAATTATGATACATTTTTGATCAATTTAATGCCTCCTTGCACAAATTCCACCCTGACTAAACACTTAAGTTATATCGCAAAACATCAAATGCATATCGGTTTTATTTCCACTGAAGATTCAGGCGATTTTAAAAACAAAATATGGGCCACATTCAGCTGTGGTGTGAACATAGCCCTCCGTTTCGTCTAAACGACATTAATAGGACAGGTAACTGGATGTGTGCTAACTCACATTCTAAGCGTCGGCCTCACGAGTCAAGGACAACCCCTAGAAAACGAGACAAATTACGTATTCATCAAACTGCTAGATCAGGCCACCACAGGCGAGTCCCTAAAGATGAGTGAAGTCACTGAGTGCATTACAAATACAACTGTAGTGCAAATTAGAGGGGGAAGTGTGGACGTGAGGTCTTTTTATAATAGTTTCATATTAGGTGAGTGTGAATCATAGAGGTTGTGAATCTGTGGCTATATTCGGAAATGTGGCGCATACTTTGTGCAGTATGCGCATTTCTGTAGGCACGGGATAGCTAGATGACCTACTTCACTGGGTATTGTATCCCACAATGCAACCTGCTCAACTTAACCTTCCATATGCAGTAACTAGATTGTTAGTATGTCATTTGGAACGGTTGCTATATTCATAATTCAGCTGTAGCAAGGTTTATTATTGTTAAACCAAACTAAAATGTTAATTGAAATTATAAATATTAGATGAAATTTAGAAATGCAGTCTTGGCTGAAAAACCCTGCACTAAAGCCCTCAAATGACTATTTTTAGCTGGAAAAATAAAAACTTAAACTGAACAAACTAAAACTTAACTAAAATAAATTAAACCCAAATAGTAGTATAAAAAACTAACAAAAATAACAAAAGCACATACAAAATAGTAAAAAAAAGTTCAACAAAAATTTAAATGAAAACTGAAATGCTAATTCAAAATATTAATAACTATATAAATAATACAAAAATAACACTGGTAATCACATAGTCCTAACTACATCCTGCTCAGTATATACTGTATACTAAACAACATGAAATAAAATCTATAATTGCAACAGCAGACGGTAGTATGCTTTATTGCTGTCACATGACCTCTCCACAATGCATGTTTAAATTAACAGTAGCTATTTTGGTTAAACATTTTTTTTTTTTTGACATTTATACCATTTTGTTAAAAAAAAAAAAACCATGAACTTTTGTCAAGTCTGATTATATAAGCAGTCAAGCAAGTTACATTGTGGGATACGGTATACCATACAGTTGCATATTGCACTTTATGGCAAATGTAGAAGGTCATGGCAGGGGAATTCCATGTATACAGAAAAATGTCACACTGTGCACAATATACATGCACACTGTGCACAATATACATGCACACTGTGCACAATATACATGCATCAGATATAGTAATAGCAGTATGGAAGTACATACATATATGTTGTCTAAACCTACTGTTCAGAGGTAAGCATGTAAACATCTGTGCACCTGGATGAGTGGGAACCCTTGTGTGGTCTGTCAGATGACTGGAAGTCTGTGTGTGCAGCACACAAAAGGCTGATCGATGGGAAAACGGTGTTCAGGAACTGGTTGCTGAGGGTCGGTGGGTTTGACTGTCTTCAAATTAACCTCCTTCTGTAGCGCTGTTTGCTGTTGCCTGGCAACCAGCCACTACTTCTTTCAAAGGGATGTGTTTTGCGAGTGTGCAGACACAATGGTGAATGTTGCAAAAATGCAGTGATTATCCTAAACTACGGGTTGCGTCCATATGTGTAACGAAATATCATATTACAATTTAGCAAAATGATCAGTCAAACGTCTAACCCCGTGCACCGCTCTGATTCGCTCGGTAAGTTTCACTGTGAGCTGAGTGCTGAGTTGAATCTCCTGCAGACTTTGGTGCTGAGAGCAGCAGTTTGGGGCTGGACTCATGCATATGCACCACTCCACCGAACGGCAGATCGGAGAGGGAGAGGGAGAGAGAGAGAGAGAGAGAGAGAGAGAGAGAGAGAGAGAGAGAGAGAGAGAGAGAGAGAGGGAGAGAGAGAGAGAGAGAGAGAGAGAGAGGGAGAGAGAGAGATAGAGAGAGAGAGAGAGAGAGAGAGAGAGAGAGAGAGAGAGAGAGAGAGAGAGAGAGAGAGAGAGAGAGAGAGAGAGAGAGAGAGTCTTGCATGCCAGAGTAAAAGAGGGATGAGAAGGTGAGAGGGCAATGCAGGGGAAAAGGTAGATAGATAGGTAGATAGATAGACAGATAGATCTATCTATCTATCTATAAAAGGTCCAACATATTAGGAATACTTTAAGCTGTGTTGCTATGCGATCGAACGCAAGCGTCTCGCTTAAATAATTAACCCATGCAACATATCTGCACCAGGCATATTTTTTAACATGACGTGCCACAACTGTTTGAGGTTGTCGACACTGGACATGTCAAAGTTAACATTATAAACTTGAACATGTGTCTTTCTGAATGTGTGGATGATGATGTTGTATTGAAGCACGTTGCATCGCAATGCCCCGTTCGCTTTGATGTGTTCATGACCTGTTTAATCTTTGAAGGTCTAAATCATAGACTGTAAAAAATAGGTCTAAATGCAGCGAAATTTAGTGTGCACCCCTATACCCGAAGCTGATTTTTTCCCCCCCGATGTATGAATCAGTCATG